CTTGTTTCCTGGTCAGATGCTGTGCCTTTACACGAATGTGACTCAAAAGCAGATCCAAGTACTTGTTTCCTGGTCAGATGCTGTGCCTTTCTCGCCCCACGAACCAAGCAGTGGAATAGGGAGGCGCTGGTCACTATTTCACTGCCTCGCCCCACGAGTATTCTTGTCGGCGCTGAAGTGCATCGTGGTGAACTGCACTGCGCTCCAACACCTATTCATCGCCCCTCCCCTCGTCCCTCGTCCCCCTTCCCTCACCCCTTCTCTCTCTCTCTCTCTCTCTCTCTCTCTCTCTCTCTCTCTCTCTCTCTCTCTCTCTCTCTCTCTCTCTCTCTCTCTCTCGAACGGTCCTTCGTATTAGTATCATCAAGGTACAGACCTGGGTACTAAGCTAGTCTAAGCAATCAAACGACAAACAGGCAAGCCAACAACCAAGAAAACACACAAAGGTACCACTACTCATCCCACTCCTACCCCTTCTCCCCACGGCCCTACTGGCCTGTGGGGTCTTCCAGCAGCTGGTACAGCTGCTCCTCACCCAAGCTGCCAAACGGGCCTTGCAGGCCAAGCTCATCCGCGGCAATGGCCTCGTGGGTCTTGTCGCGAAGGGCATTGGCCTGGGCGCGCTGGAGTGTCACACTCCAGCGCTGACGGTACTCCGTAAGGAGCCTGGCCACCTCCCTTGACTTTGGCGCAGCGTTGAATCGCCGCTTGCCCGCGAGCTCGGCGCAGCTGCGGAGGAAGGCGTGCACTCCCGGGGACGGGTAGCCGTACGTCTCAACCGCCATGGCATGGAAGCCCACCCACGCGTTCCGCCGCGCGTACTTGTCTTCTTTCTTGGCGGCTTGCATCCTTGCAGCCCACCCAGGCGCCTTCCGCGCAAACTCGTCCTGGTGAGAGACCGGGTCCGTCACGGTGATGTCGCACATGTGGACTTCGCCGGTGTCGGGATGGCGGATGCAAACGTCCGCTTTGAGGTTTTCGACCGGTGAGTACACTGTGGATTCCTTGTGCACCGTGTAGCCTGCCTCTGCTGCGATCTTCGCACACTCATCCCGAAGAGCATGGTGAGTGGCAATCCTCCCCCCGCCTTTCTCACAACGCATGAGGTGATTGGGTAGGCGGTGGTCAGGGAAGGTCGTGCGGTGGCGGCAGTCGCAGCGCCGAGGGACGGGAAGGGGGAGGCCTAGGCGGAAGGAGGATGCAGTGGAGTGCTGCGAGGGGCCGAGGCGAAGAGCCGGGACCAGGGGGATGGCTAGCAGCCAATCTCCCGCCCCGGGGCCGAGGAGTGACTGCAGGCGTTGGGTGTGGCCGTAGAGCGGGTTCAGAGGCATCTCCCGCGAGGCATCGAGCACCTCAATATAGCGGGCTGTGTGGACGGCCAGCGACAGGGCCTTCTGTAGCTTCGGGCCATCCGTCCCGCGTCGGCCGGCCTGTAGAGCTTCTAGTCCATCTGGGGGCAGCGTGGCTTCTGCCGCTGCGAGGCGCCTTGGCAGGACCGAGGGTGAGTTCGCGTCTGCATCTAGTAGCGGCAGCATCTGGGCGATTGAGGGGTGCAACGTGTCGCCGAACGAGCGCAGCAGGTGGGCCGTGGAAATGACCGAGGCTAGGTAAGCGAACACCCCTTCCGTGGCTGGGTTTTGAGGACGCCCAGCGTCACGGGCAGGGCGGCCTGCCGCCAGATTCTCCCCCGCTCTTCTTCCTCCCTGGGTATCGTCGTGTGTGCCGCCGTCGGGTAAGTGTGTAGCAGCTGCTCCCCCCACTCTGACCAGGTGTCCGCTGGCAGCACCTCCAAGGGTATCGTTCTGACGAGGTAGGAGGCGCGGCGGCTCACGCACCGTGTTAGGAGTAGCAGGCACAGCTGCGGGTCCATTTGTGACAGTAGCGGAAGTGGCTGTGCTGCTGCTGACAGGCGCTCCTGTACCAGCGCCGCGCATCCCGCCTGCGGGCCTATTGGGCTCCCCAGGACGCGGATCCCGTCCGCCGAGAAAGGTACATGCGGCGGAAGAGAGGCGGGGTCAATGTGCGCAGCCGACCATGCTGCGCACTTCTCGGGGTTGTGTTCCAGGCCTAGGGGAAGCAGCGCCCTGGTGAGGTGATTGAATGCCTCTGTGCACGCCTCAGCTTCCCCCAGGAGCGTAATGTCGTCCGCGTAGGCGAGGATGACGACTCCTGGGTGCGCCTCCGCCGCGGCTACCAGGCACGGGTGAATGCTGGCGGCGAAGAGGAGCGGGCCCAGCGGATCCCCTTGGCGTACGCCGCGTGCGGATTGTAGGGGGGGGGCATGAAACGCGTGGTCGAGGTGCAGTTCCGAGGGGACACCATAGGAGAGCCGGACCAGGTGCACCATGAATTCCAGGGTGGTCCCCTTGAGGCCTTCGAACACTGCTGCCCGCTCGACCGCGTTAAATGCGTTTGCCAGGTCGATTTGTAGCGCCACAGCCCCGTCATTCTCCTCCAGGTATGTCCTTGCCGTGTGCACCGCCGCCTCGATGCCTCCTGCTACCGCCACCCCGAATTGCAGCGGTGCGAAGTGATCGCGTGCTCTCTCAGCCGCCAAGAATAGAGCCGCTTTTGCTACTAATCTGAGCAGGCATTCGCCTACTGCTATAGGCCGTGTGCCCCCATGGGGCTTCGTGAAAGCAAGTAAGCGTGACGCAGTGAGGAGTTCTGCTGCTTCCGCGCTGAGTTTTTCGGCTAACGCCGTGTTTGTGAGTGCGTGCAATTGCAGGAAGATGTCCGTATTCCCAAGTGCTGCGTCCCTCAGGTGTTCAAAGGTGGTCCCCGAGGGACCAGCGCCCACTCCGTTCGGGCATTTGGCGAGAATGCGTCTGAAGTCGCGTGGAGGGATTGAAGGGGTGCACTCTGTGGTGAAATCCGGCACCCACTCCGGGATGGATTGGCGCGCAGGGGGGTGTCGAGCTGAGAGAGCCCGAAGCACGTCAGTTGAGGGGGGGGAGACTGGCGTGGCCGTGAGGGATTGGAGGGATTTTGCTAGGTTCCCTCGTTTGGCGAGTCCCTCTGCCCTTGCCAGGATGCCTGTGGTGTCTGGCGCATGGCGTGGCTGGGGTGGTTGGGATACTGCGTCAGCCGCCTCGTCGTACAGGCTCCGCCACTGGCCTTGGCGGAACCTTATCAGCCTGGCTCCTACCTTCGACCAATCTGGGCGCTTGGCTGATGAGGTGCGCAAGAGGATGCGCGGGAGGAACATGAGCAGTCTCCAGCCTGCGGGCGAGTCAGGGTCTTTTGCGAGGTGTAGCAGCGGGGTGAGAAGGCAGGCTGCGAAAGATTCGCGAAGAGTGCGAGGTGGGTGACGGGCGAGAGGTGGTTGCCTGCTGTCGCGAAGGGGGTGTAGGTCCCAAGTTGCGACATCAGCGAAAAGGTCCTGGCGTTTTGCCAGGTCGCCTGCACTGAACAGGGGCAGGCCTGTGGGTGCATCTGCACTCTGCTGATTGGCCCGAGTTGGGGTGCCATCTGCAATTTGTGCGGCTCGGTTTCCCCCCCCGACTCGGCTCTGTCTTCCAATTCGGATCGCAGATGCGGCTCGGCTCGGTGTTGGAGTTCGGTCCACATCTCGAGCCTGCTCTGCCTCTTCTAACTCGGGGGAGGGACTGGGGCTACCCTCTCTTTCAGGGTTAAATAGAGGGTCACCCACAGAGTTCTCGTCACTCGATTCTTCCCCATCTCTAGCCCTTCCCCTCAGGATCCTGTGAGCAGCCCTCGCGAAGCTACTAGCGCCCCATCGTTGAACCGCAGCGCCTCCTCTACGACCACCCCGTCTCCCTCCTCTTCCTACGCGGATTCCGTGCTGCGCGGAGGCCGCCGCTGCAATATTGCGTGTCGGTTGTGGCGCCGAGGCGGTACCAAGGCCCCTCCTTTGACGGCCCGCTGGCGTCCGCAGCGGTTCGTTCGGGCGTGATGGACCCCTCCGCGGGTCGCGACCGCGCGCAAGAGAGTACGGCGGACAGCGCGGGCCCCCGTCCTCAGGCGCCCGCTGCACCCCGTCTCCGCGCTCCTGCGCATCCATCCGCGTCTGAGCCCGTGCGGCGTCTGGAGCGCGGGCTGTCTCTACCTCATCAGGCGAGCGCGCGCCCAAACTCTCCTGAGTATTCGTGGGCGCCGGCCCGCGTTGGGTCGAATCGTCCGGTTGGACAGCCGCCTCATGAGCGTGGGCGATCGCCGCAGCGCCAGCCCCAGCAGCAACGTTCCCCTCGGCGTCGCTCTCCTGGTCAACGCGAGCTTCGCCGCCACGGAGCTGGCGATCAGCTGTCGCCTGCGAGCCCCCGCTCTCCCCGTCACCGATCTCCCCAAGATCGGGCAGCCCAGCGCTCACCGCGAGCGCGATCCCCCGCGCAGCGCTCTCCGCGTCGATCTCCGGCGAGGCGGGGGAGGGGTTCTCCTGGGCGACGATGGGATTCTGGGCGCCGCGAGCAATCCCCCCCGCGTCCGCACTCGGCGGGCTCTGGTGGCCGTCGGGGTCGGCGGAATGGAGCGGGTCGCGGCGGAGCTGGTCGCGGGGAGGATCCTGCGGTTGGTGAAGCCGTGAATGTGTTTGCAGCGGCGATGCGCCAGGCGCGAGCGACTGGTGAGCCAACTCACGTCCACATCGAGGTGACCAACAGTCATTCTCACGCCCTAGCCCCTGACGTCGCGGCCCCTCTGCGCGCGCCGGTATTGAGCAAGTATCTGCCCGCGCGGGAGGGGAGGGCGCTGTTCCGCACCCCTCGGCAGGTCCCTGGCTTCTCCGCGCAGCCCTTCTCGGGAGGCCGACTTCCGGGCCGGGAGACAGCGTATCAGCGTGAGGCTCCGATTGCACCTCCCCCCACTCGCGCGGGGAGAGACCCCATGCTGACCATGTGCCGGACGCTGAATCTTGCGGAGGCGTGCGAGTTGGTGGCGAACTTGCAGATGGCGGTGTGTGGGGCCATGCGAAACTCTCCGGGCAGTTTCGCTCCAGGTCCCCGAGGATTGTGCGCGACCTGGGCAGAAGCCCTCGCCCCGCTATTGGCGCCCGTGTCGGAAGCGCCCGCCGGGGTAGCGCCCTTAGCGCGTACCTTCCCCCGCCACGTGGAGGATCTTCTTGTGGCCGCCCAAGAGGGGACCCCGGTGCGCACGCTTCAGTCGTCGGCGCAGCTCCTTCTGGCGGTGTCGACGTGCATGCGTTCGATGCTTGAGGTGGAGGGGGCGGAGCCGTACACGATGTAGGCTTCCGCCGCGTGTAGTATTGCATGTCGCCCTTTTAGGTAGATCCCCTCTCCCTTCCTGTTGATGTGTGCTTGAACCCCGTTATTCCGATGCTGTCGCTTGAAATCCTTGCCACCAGGAGCGCGCGGCCGAAGGCCGCCGGCGCGAGCCGCCGAAAATGAACTCCACACAAAATAATGAGGAGAAGGAGGGTGAGACAGCCCTTAAATAGCTCTGGAGGGCAGAGGGCAGAGGGATGAGGCAGAGGGCAGAGGGCTAAGGGATTCCTCTCTCTCTCTCTCTCGCTCTGAGCCGCCGAAAATGAACTCCACACAAAATAATGAGGAGAAGGAGGGTGAGACAGCCCTTAAATAGCTCTGGAGGGCAGAGGGCAGAGGGATGAGGCAGAGGGCAGAGGGCTAAAGGATTCCTCTCTCTCTCTCTCTGTCTCTCTCTCTCTCTCTCTCTCTCTCTCTCTCTCTCTCTCTCTCTCTCTCTCTCTCTCTCTCTCTCTCTCTCTCTCTCTCTCTCTCTCTCTCTCTCTCGCCGGGCGCTGGACTTCATGCGCGCCGCGCCACAGAGCGCAAGAAATGCATCGTGGTGACTGCACTCTGCACTCTGCACTCTCCCACTCGCCGCTGTCTCTCCCCTGTCCTGCCCCTCCTGTCGCCAGGCGCTGGACTACATGCGCGCCATGGAGGGAAAGAAGTGCATCGTGGTGCACTGCACTGCCCCTTCAAAGTCCCTCTCACTCTCCCCTTCCCCCCATCCCTCGCACTCTCTCCGCACTCTCTCACGGCAGGCGCTGGACTACATGCGCGCGACAGAACGCAAGAAGAGCATCATTGTGCACTGCACGCACGGGCACAACCGCACGGGCTTCATGATCGTCCACTTGCTCATGCGCGCCATGGGGGGCCACGTGGCAGAGGTATGGTGGGTGTGGAAGAGGTGGCCACGTGGCAGAGGTATGGTGGGTGTGGAAGAGGTGGCCACGTGGCAGAGGTATGGTGAAAACCCCATGTGCTAGTCATGTGTGTTCATGAGTCTCTACCACAACCACACAGGGTTCATGGTCATCCACTTGCTCATGCGCGCCATGGGAGGCCACGTGCCATGGGAGGGCACGTGCCAGAGGTGGGCTCGTGACAGAGGTGGGCACGTGGCAGAGGTATGGCGTGTGATTGTGGCGTGTGGCAGGCATTGTGGCGTGTGGCAGAGGCATTGTGGCGTGTGGCAGAGGCATTGTGGCGTGTGGCAGAGGCATTGTGGCGTGTGGCAGAGGCATTGCTGGATTATGGGATGCACAACGAGTATGAGTCACTCTGCCTCTCCTTCCACAATATTTACTGCCGCTCATACCCACTGTTGTCCATTCATTCATTGTCTTCCCCATGCCCGTCCCTGGGGCATGTGCAATCCAATCCAAGGAGGAGCAGTACATCACATCCAGCCTCTTCTCCCTCTACCACCAGCTTTGCTCCCTCGCACCTCAAACCCCACCCATCAATCCCCACCCATCAAACCCCACCCATCAAACCCCACCCATGTCTGTTCGTCTCTCTTGTTTCACCCACTCACCAGTGCAGCGGCTAGTGGAATTCGCAGTGGCTCGCCCACCGGGCAGATACAAGGAGGAGTACATGCACTCGCTCTTCTCCCTGTACCACCAGCCTTGTTCCCTCCCAGCCGCCTCACATCTACCTGTCCATCTTCCCCGTCCCTCCCCCACACCACTGCAGAGGCTCGCGGAATTTGCTGAAGCCACGCCCGCTGGACAGACACAAGGAGGAGTACATCCAGTCGACTTTTGAGTTGAGGCGCCTCAAAAGTCGCAGTGGCACGCCCCCTGCATAGATACAAGGAGGAGTATATACCAATCCAGTCGTTCTTCTCCTTCTACCTACCACCACCAGTGCTGCGCCCTCTCGTCTCATGAACCTAAAACCCACTCATTTCCGTCCGTCCGTCTTGTTTCCCGGCTCCATGAATGCAGAGGCTAGCGGAATTCGCAGAGGCGCGCCCTCCAGGAATATACAAGGAGGAGTACATTCAATCGCTCTTCACCTTCTACCACGAGCGGCGCCCCGAGGCGGTGATCTGCCCGCCCACGCCCGAGTGGAAGGCCACCTTTGACCTGGACCTCGATCTCAACGTGGCCTTAGAGATGGACGAGGAGGACGCGGGTGGGGGCTCAGGCGGTGGTGGTGGCGATGATGGAAATGAGGAGTGTGGCGCTGCTGTGCTGCCAGAGCCGGTGAGCCTGTCACCCTTTGAATCGGTTCCTGTAGGTCCCTCTCATTGAATGAGTGGTGCAGCAAGTTTGGCAAGGGTTGGTGGATAGTGCGCCCACGCCCGAGTGGAAGGCCACCTTTTACCTGGATCTCAACGTCGCCTTGGAGATGGACGAGGAGGAGGCGGGGTGGGGGCGCAGGTGGTGGTGGTGGGGACGACGGGAAGGAGGAGTGTGGCGCTGCTGTTTTGCCAGAGCCGGTGAGTGGATCACTCGAGCAGGTGGTGAGTGTGGACGGGAAGGCCACGTTCGACCTGGACCTTGATCTTAACGTCGCCTTGGAGATGGACGACGAGGAGGCTGCTGAAGGGGGGGGGGAGGGAGGGGAGGGGACGACGGCAACGAGGAGTGCGGCGCTGCCGTCCTGCCAGAGCCTGTGAGTGGATTACACGAACAGCTGGTGGGCATGTTGCTCTTATAAAAGCACAAAGTTCACCCCACATATCCCTCGCCCTGTGGGTGGGTGGGTACGTCCACGCCCGAGTGGAAGGCCATGTTTGACCTAGACCTCGACCTCAACGTGGCCCTTGATGAGATGGACGAGGAGGGCGCGGGCGAGGGGTCCGTTAGCATAAACATGTTCGAGGACACACGCTCGAATCGAACATGTTCGAGTTCGCCGCGGACTTTATGAGATGTTCGGGCGAACATAAAAGTGTTCGTCGCCTGCCTCTGAAGGCGAACACTCGAACATGTAATTCCGTTATGGCAAAACTGTTGGAACGAACCGATCATGTTCGGTTCGAAACCCCGAGGTGTTCGGCAAGGTTCGAACCGAGCGTGTTCGGATTCGTGCGTTGCTCATGTGGAGGTGGTGTGGTGGTGCTGATAAGCTCATCCTTTCATCGGCGTGGTTTCCAGGCACTCCGTGTGCTGCTGCTGTTATTTCTTTCCGCCCAAGGGGCAAGGAAGGAGGAAGTGGGCAAGAGGAAAATGACCATGTGTTGGGCTTGGCTGATAGAAATGATGTGCGTAAGGGTTGTCAGCATTCACTAATCAGCATGGTGCTCTTTCCGCGTGTGTTCGCCCAGTCCAGGAGGCGGGCAAGGAGGTTTAGGGCAAGAAGCAGATGAGGATTGACCATGTGCTGGGGTTGGCTGGGTGATGCGATTTAAAGGTGCCACCAACCATCGATCATCTGAATGTTATGTGTGTGTCCAGGAGGCGGGCAAGGAGGAGGAGGGCAAGAAGAAGATGACGATTGACGATGTGCTGGGGTCGGCAATACCGGAGGAGCAGCAGTGGGAGCTGCAGCAGCTCGTGTGCACGGGACTCAAGTCGGTACGTGCAGGAAGAAGGGGCGGTGAGTGATGCAAAGCGGTGCACAACTGTGCAGAGATGGGGGCGAGTGGTTAAGAAGGGTTAAATGGGGTGGAGTGGAGGACTGAAGGGGTAATATTGGAGGAGAAGCAGATGGATCTGTAGCAGCTCTTCTGCACTGGCTCAAGTCCGTACGTGCACTGGGGGTGATGCATGTGCAGAGTGGTTGAGAGTGGTGAGATGAGAAGGGTGGTGGTGGAGATAAATTGCGAGTTGGACTTGCACGCACTCTCCCCCTTGCATCATCAACCACACGAGTATTTTTTCCGCCTCCTCCCCTTCTCTCCATCCCCAATTCCCCCAGAATTTTATCTGCTGATACCTCCGCTTCTCCTTCACTTTTGTTCTCTTGTCTTCTCACGTCTCTTACCCGCTTCCCCCCATTCCCCCACTCACTCATTACTCAATCCCGCCATCCCCCCAGTCAAACTTGCGCCTCCTCCCAGTGCTCAGTTCTCAGTGAGGAGGGTTCTCTCAACTGGTCTCACTGGGAAATAAAGAATTCCCAAAAGTAGTTCTAATTTCCACCCTCCTCCCATTCCTCACCCCCGCCCCCCAGAACAATTTTCGGCACTTCCCCGGCTCGCAACCAGTCTCACTGGATCTGTAAGCTCTCTGTCTCTCAACCTCACTCCGTTCCCTTCTCCATCTCAACCCCCCTATGTTGAGGCGCTTCAACTTTGAGATTCCAGTTTTGAGGCGCCACTCTCAACCTGCCTCACTGGATCTGTAAGCTCTCTGTCTCTCAACCTCACTCCGTTCCCTTCTCCATCTCAACCCCCCTATGTTGAGGCGCTTCAACTTTGAAATTCCAGTTTTGAGGCGCCACTCTCAACCTGCCTCACTGGATCTGTAAGCTCCCTGTCTCCCAACCTCATTCCCTTCCCTTCTCCACCTCATCCCCTCTGTGAAGACGCTTCAACGTCAAGGCTCGAGTTTTGAAACGCTGCTTGCAACCATGCTCGCTGGACCTGTAACCTCTCTGTTTATCACCGTCACCCCGCTCTCAACCTCAACCCCTCTGTTGAGGGCCTCTCATGTTTGAGTTTTGAAGTGCCTGAAAGTCGGCTCTCAACTGGCCTCCCTCACTGGACCTGTACAATCCATGCCTCTCACCTTCACTTTGCTTCCTCATCCTCACCTTCTCTGTCTTCCTTACCGCTGGGTGGGTGGGTGGCTGGCTGATCCTTAAAGATGAGTGTTCCAACAAACACTGGTTTCGATCGAGCGATGGTCGATTCAAGTGTTGTAAGGTGTATGTACGGATTAGTGTGCATGCATGCAGGTAGCGTCAGGTGGTATGCATGGTGAGTTTTGAGCCGGCTCGAAGCATCCTTCGACGTTCATTTGTGCGTGTAAGGGCCATAGCCCAGCGCACAGCTCAGCACAGAATAGAATACGCAGCTGCCGCGCGCTACAAGCATTCTCCTCTGCATCTCGCACAGAGACCAGATACCAGCTGTAAGTCCTTTGTGGCTGTCCTTTGCTCTCTTCTCTTCCCGCTTGTGGTCTTTTGAATTTCTACTACACCACCCATTCTGGGTGTACACTTTGTTCGAGGCGCCCCAACCACTTTGGTTTGGGGCACCCCAAACACCTTCTACGCCACAATTGTTGGGGGCCACTTTGGTGGCCCTTGCCAACCAATTATTGGTCTGCCAATAATTTGTGGCTCGCCCCAACCATTATTGGGTAACCAACAATTTTGGCCAACCAATAATTCTGGGAGCTCGCCGCCTAGTTTCCTCGCTTTTCTTCCTCCTATGTAAGCCCAACGTTTCCTTAATACAATCAACACTAGAGTTTCTCACATCATGAACCTTCAGCATAATCTCTGCACTGCCCTTTCCACATGTATGTGTTCTGTATGTACGATGCAGCAAGAATCTGCAGCTGCTGCGGCAGCGGCTGTACTATGTGACATGGAAGGCCGATGGCACGCGCTACATGATGCTCATCTGCCCTGACGGCTGCTACCTCATCGACAGGTGCGCTTCTAGTGACAGCAGGTGCTTGAGCTTACAGTGCCTGTCTTGGCACGCGCTACATGATGCTCATCTGCCCCGATGGCTGCTACCTCATCGACAGGTGCTTGACAGGTGCGTGCATTGACAGAGACTGTCTTTTTATGCGATATGTGATGCTCATTTGCCCTGACAGACAGGTATGTGTGTCATCACACATCCCGATATGTGTTAGAATTGAACCAGTCACTTGATTAGGAATCATGAGGGTTTACATAGTGGAAACTAGGGGAGGGGGGGTTGGTTGGTTACCTAGCCAACATTATTGGCCCCCCACCAATAAGTTGGGTTGGAGAATTATTGGGGGGTCCCAATAATGTTGGCCAAAGGTGGGCCAACATTATTGGGGGGGCCAATAATCTCCCAACCCAACCTTGGAGGCCAATAATTGGACCAAGGTTGGGTTCCAACCCCCAACTAGGGTTAACCCTAGTTGTGCACCCAAACATAGTTTGGGTGCCTATCTCTATCCTAGGGTTTATAGGATCAATGCAGGATACAGAAGAGTAGTATAATCTAACACAACCCCTTAGCCTGCATAGATCCATAAACCTGGATGAGACAAGACAGCAACCCCTGAATCAGTCACCATGGGGAGCAAGGCCCAGGAGGGGCAAGAGTGCCGAGTGAGTAGCGCGGTCGAGGGCTTTAGTGAGTATGTCCGCGGGGTTGGAGGACGAGTCGATTTTGCGCACGGTAATGTGACCATCCTGGACAAGATCGCGGACGAAGTAGTGTCGGAGCTCGATATGCTTGGAGCGACCATGGAACACAGCTTCTTTGGTGAGGTGGATGGTGCTGGCGTTGTCACACCAGAGAGTGGGTCAGGGCTGTGGTGAGCCAAGGTCTGTGAGGAGATAGCTGAGCCAGCGTGCTTCCTGTGCTGCCATCGTGACCGCGTAAAGTTCAGCCTCGCAGGAGGAGAGGGCGATGGAGGAGGAGCGGGTGGAGCGCCAGCTAATGAGGCCGCTCCCAAGGGTGAAGCCATATCCTTGTGAGCTGCGACGGTCAGGCTGTGAGTCCGCCCAGGACGAGTCGCTGAAGCCAGTGAGAACCGGCGGGTCTGCTCCACCAAGGGTGAGGGTGTAATCCTTCGTGTGCTGAAGGTAGCGTAGGACACGCCGGGCCGCCGTCATGTGTTCCTCTGTGTGCCTGCCGACACCAACGAATCGCGCCAGAACACTGACTGGGTAGGCAAGGTCGGGGCGGGTGCAGACCATGGCGTACATCAGGGCCCCGACAAGCTCTGCATAGGGGTTTGAGGAGTCGGTGGGGGTGTTAGGGGGCGCGAGGTGGTGCCCAACTGCAAGCGGGGTGGCGATGGGCTTGGCTTTTGACATTCCAAACCTCTCAAGGACCTTCTCAATGTAGAAGGACTGAGAGAGGGAGATAGTCTTGGCCTTGAGGTCGCGGGTGATCTCCATGCCAAGGTAGTTGCGGACCTCCCCCAGGTCTTTGCAGGCGAGTCGACGCTGTAGTTCGTCCTTGACCTCCTGCATCTCAGCATCTGTGTCGGCGGCTAGTAGCATGTCGTCGACGTAGACGAGAATGTAGAAAGGTGACGGAGCCGTCCGAAGGAAGAGGCTGGAGGCCGCTCGGGAGGGGCGAAAACCAAGCTCGCGAAGGGTGGAAGAGAGCTTGGCATGCCACTCCCGGGGTGCCTGCTTGAGGCCGTAGACGGGCCGCAGCAGCTTCCAAACGGTGGACGGGTCATGTGGAGCATGAAAGCCTTTGGGGCGTTCCATGAAGATGAGTTCGTGTAGGTCGCCTTGGAGGAAGGCGGTAGTGACATCCATGGAGTGTAGCAGCATGCCGCGTCTGCCGACGAAGTCGAGGAACACCCGAACGACCGGTGGGGTAGCAGTGGGTGAGTATGTTTCAAAGAAGTCAAAGCCGTGCTTTTGCGTGAAGCCCTTCGCCACATAGCGAGCTTTGTAGACAGGGTCTTCGCCAGGGAGAAGCTTGACACGGAAGAGCCATTTGCCCTTGACGACATTGGTCTTGGCAGGGCGAGGGACGTCGATGAAGGAGCGGTTGCGGATGAAGGCGTTGCTTTCCTTGACCATGGCTTCAATCCAGAGCGGTGCGTCGAGGCAGGCAATTGCCTCCTCGTACGTGGTGGGTTCGAAGATGGTGGGGGTGCCCGAGAAGAGAAGAACTGGAGTGCCTGCCATGGTGCGGACGATGGGGGCGATGGAGGGCGCGAGGAGGTGGAGGAAGAGGAGTTCGTCGTGGGTGTCTTCATAGAGGAGAGGAGAGAGAGGAGGAGGAAGAGGGGGTGGTGAAGATGCAAGACAGCTGCGCTGAAGGTCGAGTCTGCGACATGGAAGTGCTGCTGCTCGGCTGCGCGGTGGTGCTGTCAAGAGCGTGGAGCGGTTGCGCAGTGGATCTGGAGTGAGGGGGCTGAAGCGGGGGGGGGAGGGAAGTACCGGTGAGGGCGAGGAGGGAGGGGGGGGAAGTCTGTGGGGAACCAAGGATGGGGTCCAGGGAGCGGGTGTGGGGATAGCGGGGAAGGACAAGGGTAGGGGAGGGGCGTTGGGGAAGAGGGGGGGGAGGCGGAGGGGGGGGCGGATTAGAGGAGGGGAGGGGGGATGGAGGGGAAGGGGGCGGGGGAGGTGGAGGAGGGGGAGGAGGAGGAGGGAGGTGAGTTGCAGCGGAAGGTGAGGTAGTGGAGTGGGAGGGGGAGGGGGGGGGTGGGTTAAGGATGTCGCCGGAGGAGCTGGAGGAGAGTGGAGGGGGGAGGGGTGGAGGAGCGGGGGGAGGGGTCATGGCAGGGGACGGGAGGAGGGGCAGGGTGTCAGTCCAGAGAAGGGGCCGGGGAAATGGGGGAAGGGGGTTAGGGGCGGAGGGGGAGGTGTAGTACGGGGTGGCCTCGTCAAAGACCACGTCCCGACTACGGATGAGGCGGCCTGAGGGGGGGTGGAGGAAAAGGTAGTCAGGTGAGTTGGAGTTGTGTCCAAGGTAGACACAGGGGAGTGTGCGGGACGCAAGCTTTCCACGTGCGCGTGAGCGGTCGGCAGGGTGTATGAGGACATACGCCTTGCAACCCCAGACACGCAGAGGAGATATGTCAGGCTTGCTGGAGGTCCATAGTTCGGTGGGGGTGGAGGTGGGACGGGAAGGGTGGGGGTAGAGGTTAGTGAGGATGGCAGCGTGAAGGATGGCATAGCCCCAAAGAGAAGGTGGGCAGGAGGCGTGAACGAGGAGGTACCGAGCAGTTTTGGTGATCTCCCGAACGCGGCTCTCCGCCACACCATTCTGCTGAGGGGAGTGAGGGAGAGTGTAGGTGTGGAGGATGCCGTGAGAGGTTCGAGAGGAGGGGGAGGTTCGAGAGGAGGGGGAGGTTCGAGAGGAGGGGGAGGGGGAGGGGGGGTGGGAGGGGGAGGGGGAGGGGGAGGGGGAGGGGGGGGGGGGGGGGGGGGGGGGGGTGGGGGGGGGAGGGGGAGGGGGAGGTTCGAGAGGAGGGGGAGGTTCGAGAGGAGGGGGAGGTTCGAGAGGAGGGGGAGGGGGGGCGGGAGGTTCGAGAGGAGGGGGAGGGGGGGCGGGAGGTTCGAGAGGAGGGGGAGGGGCGGGGGGATGGGCTGTGGAGAGTTGGTGAAGGGTGGGACGGGGGATGCGGAAGGTGTACATGTGGGTGGAGGGGCACCGATGGACACGGCAGAGGAAGCGACCGGAGGAGGTGTGAAATAAGTCACAATATGCTGCGTGACCAGGGAATAGGGCGGTGACACCTGCTGTTGAGAGGGCACCAAAGGATACCAGGTTGTTACGAAGGGAGGGGATATAGAGACCTGTGACGGTACCTGAGGGAAAGAGGGGACAGGGGAGTGTGGAGGTGTAACGGCTTTGTATGGCAAAGCTTGAGTCAGCCCCATAGATTGTGGAGGGGGTGGAGAGGGGGAGGAGCGTGCCTGCATCACGAAGGACCGTGTGTGTGGCTCCGCTGTCAAGGATGAACTCAAAGGGCTGAGGGGAGGAGGAGGACACGGAGTACTGGAATGAGGACTCATTAATAGCATTGGCATACATAGGATCATTGCAAGAGCTAGCAGTAGTGACATGACCTATGAAGCCCGTGGAAGGAAACGGTGTGAAGCCGGGGGGGTGAGAGGAGGAGGTGGGTTGTTCAGCAGCTGCGGCAGTTGCAGCAGTTGCGGCAGTTCCATGGCCATACATAGATGGGGGGTAGGGAGGGTAAGGCCAGCCGGCATAAGGAGGAGGATAGAGAGGAGGATAGGGGGAGGGAGGGGTTTGAGGTGGGGGCGTGGGTGGAGGCGGAGTGGTGGGGATGGAGGGCGTGGGGGTGGTGGTGGGTGTGGGGAGAAGGTGTTGGACTTGCTGGAGGACGTGAGGGGAGAGGTGCTGAGCGAGGACATTATGGAGGTTAGGTGGAGAGGGAGCATAGGTGGAGAGAGTGCGAATGTCATGAGGGGTGGGGCGAGGGGTGATGGTGTTCCAACGTGGAGGGGGGCCTGTGTTGCCGCGTGCAAGCCATTCATCAGTGAGGGCTTTGAAGCACGTTTCAGTTGGGTGAGTGGTCTGGTTGCAGGTCTGACCTTTGTTGGGGCCTTGACGAATGACGTACTGGCACGGGGGAAACCCACTTGTGGATGGAGTAGTTGCTCCACGTCCGCCGCGTTCCCCAGTGCGCCCTCCTCGTCCGCCTCCGCGACCGCCTCCTCGACCACCTCCGTTTGAGCCACGTCCAGGTCCACTGCTGCTGCTTCCGTCGGCGTTAGTGGTTCCTTTGCGAGCGTGGACTGCATTGACCGTTGCAGAGTCACGTAGGAGGTCAGCCTCACTGTCAAGGAGCCAGTCGATGGTAACAGCCACAGGAGGAGGACGAATGTGCTGGGAGGTGAAGTTGATGCGGTAAGTGTCATAGGTGGGTGGGAGGCTGTCAAGGATGCGTGCTGTAAGAAGGGTGTCTGAGATCAAGATGCCTCGATCATTGAGGCGTTGCGCAGTATCCGTGAGACGCCGAGCGAAGGAGGCGGCATTGAGGGAGGAGTCAAGGGTGATGTCTTGGAAGGTGCGAAAGAGGGAGAGGAGGGAACGTAAGTCCTGACGATCATATTGAGAGGAGAGAGACTTCCAGAGAGAGGGGGAGGATGGAGGGCGAAGGTCACGTTTAAGAGAGGAGGGAATGCACGAGAAGATGACAGTGAGTGCATGCAGCAGTATCGGAGTGGTGCTTACGAAGGTTAGTAGAGTATGCTTCGGAGGTGGCTTGAAACTCTGCAAGCTTTGCAGTAGCAGCTTCGTGAGCGGCGACGGCAGCCGCGTGTGCTCTGCCCTTGGTGACATAGTCGTCCCGCTCCTTGTTGTACTTGTTGAGGGTGCGAGCCCACCTGTCTGGGTCATCCTCCCAAGCCCCTAGGATGGGGGCTTGAGGGGCGGGTTCGGTCGGGAGTGGTGGGGCGTCAGGGGGGGAGGAGCCTGGGAGCGGGGGCGGGGTGGGAGGGAGGCCGTGAGGCGTTTCGAGGACGACGTCAAGGAGGCAATAATCTCCCACTCGAACGGAGCCAAGGTACGTGAAGAGGCTCTCTTCAAACGACACCCAATTGACTGCGGTGGTGCCGTTGAGGAGCTCGAGTTTGTCTATTGAGGCGAGCTCAAGTGACGAAGGTTCGTCCGCCATGACGAGTGAGGGAGGGAGGGAGGAGGGGAGGGTGGAGGTGCTAGAGGTGACGACGCTGTCCGGAGGGACGGCGCGGTCAGTGGTGGAGATGAGCTGCGTGCTGTCCGCAGCTGGTTACTCCCCCGTCTGGTCGCGTTCGCGGCTGCTGCCTGCGTCCGCGGCGGCTGCCCGCGTTCGTCCCGTCCGCGGCGGCTGTCCGCGGATGTCGCGTCCGCGGCGGCTGCCCGCGTTCGTCCCGTCCGCGGTGGCTGTCCGCGGATGTCGCGTCCGCGGCGGCTGCCCGTGTTCGCCCCGTCCGCGGCGGCTGTCCGCGGATGTCGCGTCCGCGGCGGCTGCCCGCGTTCGCCCCGTCCGCGGTGGCTGTCCGCGGATGTCGCGTCCGCGGCGGCTGCCCGCGTTCGTCCCGTCCGCGGCGGTTGTCCGCGGATGTCGCGTCCGCGGCAGCTGCCCGCGTTCGCCCCGTCCGCGGCGGCTGTCCGCGGATGTCGCGTCCGCGGCGGCTGCCCGCGCTCGCCCCGTTCGCGGCGGCTGTCCGCGTTCGTCGCGTCCGCGGCTGACGGCCGCGTTCGTCGCGTCCGCGGCTGACGGCCGCGTTCGTCGCGTCCGCGGCTGACGGCCGCGTTCGTCGCGTCCGCGGCTGACGGCCGCGTTCGTCGCGTCCGCGGCTGACGGCCGCGTTCGTCGCGTCCGCGGCTGACGGCCGCGTTCGTCGCGTCCGCGGCTGACGGCCGCGTTCGTCGCGTCCGCGGCTGACGGTCGCGTTCGTCGCGGCGGACGGTCGAGGCGAGGAGAGGAGCGCCGAGATGGCGCGAGGGGCACGGCAGAGCCGGCGGACGTGCGCTAAGTAGCGCGAGGGGCGCGGCAGAGCCGGGGAGAGGTGCGCTTAAGTGGCGCGAGAGACGCGGCAGAGCCGGGGAGAGGTGCGCTAAGTGGCGCGAGAGGTGCGCTAAGTGGCGCGAGAGGTGCGCTAAGTGGCGCGAGAGGTGCGGCAGAGCCGGCGAGAGGTGCGCTAAGTGGCGCGAGGGGTCCTAGGATCTTGAGCGGCGTTAGCCGTAAGAGCTCTGATAGCATGTTAGAATTGAACCAGTCACTTGATTAGGAATCATGAGGGTTTACATAGTGGAAGCTAGGGGAGGGGGGGTTGGTTGGTTACCTAGCCAACATTATTGGCCCCCCACCAATAAGTTGGGTTGGATAATTATTGGGGGGTCCCAATAATGTTGGCCAAAGGTGGGCCAACATTATTGGGGGGGCCAATAATCTCCCAACCCAACCTTGGAGGCCAATAATTGGACCAAGGTTGGGTTCCAACCCCCAACTAGGGTTAACCCTAGTTGTGCACCCAAACATAGTTTGGGTGCCTATCTCTATCCTAGGGTTTATAGGATCAATGCAGGATACAGAAGAGTAGTATAATCTAACAATATGTGATGCTCATTTGCCCTGACAGACAGGTATGTATGTCATCACACATCCCGATATGTGAATGCTGCCACCTCATCGGCAGGTGTGCTTGCGTCATCGGCAGGTGTGCTTGCGTCATCGGCAGGTGTGCTTGCGTAGTCATCGGCAGGTGTGCTTGCGTCATCGGCAGGTGTGCTTGCGTCGTCGGCAGGTGTGCTTGCGTCATCGGCAGGTGTGCTTGCGTCGTCGGCAGGTGTGCTTGCGTCATCGGCAGGTGTGCTTGCGTAGTCATCGGCAGGTGTGCTTGCGTCATCGGCAGGTGTGCTTGCGTCATCGGCAGGTGTGCTTGCGTCATCGGCAGGTGTGCTTGCGTCATCGGCAGGTGTGCTTGCGTCATCGGCAGGTGTGCTTGCGTCATCGGCAGGTGTGCTTGCGTCATCGGCAGGTGTGCTTGCGTCATCGGCAGGTGTGCTTGCGTAGTCATCGGCAGGTGTGCTTGCGTCATCGGCAGGTGTGCTTGCGTCATCGGCAGGTGTGCTTGCGTCATCGGCAGGTGTGCTTGCGTCATCGGCAGGTGTGCTTGCGTCATCGGCAGGTGTGCTTGCGTCATCGGCAGGTGTGCTTGCGTCATCGGCAGGTGTGCTTGCGTCATCGGCAGGTGTGCTATTGGGCACTGGCGTGTCCCACCTGGATGCCCGCACCTGCTGCAGAATCTCCCAGGAGGAGTGGCGACTCATCAGCAGGAATTTTTGTCCCAGCTTCGCCTTCCCCTTCTCTCCCCCCCCCCCCCCTCCCCCTCTCTTCCCGCCCTCTCTCCTCCCTTCCCCCACCAGAAACTTCCGGTTTCGGCGAGTGCAAATGAGGTTTCCCGCGCGCAAGCACCTGCAGCACAAGCCGGTGGACGACTGGGACGTGCACCGCACCACACTGCTGGACGGCGAGATGGTGGTGGATGAGCTGCCCGGCACTGACGTGCAGGAGCGGCGCTACCTCATCTATGATCTCATGATGCTTGACAGCGTGCCGCTGGGAGATGTGAGTCAAGGAGGGGGGTGCGAGGGGCTTTGAATGGTGTGTGGGGGTGGCTTGACATGTGTGTCTTTCTGTTCTACTCTTCTGCTTCCATCTCACTATTCTTCTTCCTTGCTCCTTGCCACTCATTTGCTCCCTTCCTGCCATTCTTGCACTTCCCCACTTTGACCGCTTGCGGAGCGGTTTGAAACTTTGAGCTAATCGAGAGAGAGGTGGTGCATACTATTTTGAAACACTAAATGATAACCTATTCTCTCACCATTCGTCTGCCCCCTTGCTCCATTCTTTCTTCCCCTTACAGAGACCATTCGCGGAGCGGTTTGAGCTGATAGAGAGGGAGGTGGTGGCGCCGCGCAAGATGGATGCAGCCATGAACCCCCTTTATGACTACAGCCTGGAGGACTTCAAGGTGATTGGTTGCTGCTTGAGCCTTGAAGGGTTTCCAGGGTGATTGCAACTTGATGGCTTCCAGGTGGTGCCCCGCCGCAGACGATGCATGCAGCCATGAATGAACCCCCCGTACGACTACAGCCTGGAGGGCTTCAAGGTGCGCTCAGGTTGCAAGGTGATTGCAGCTTGAAGGATTTGAAGATGGATGCAGCGATGAACACCCTGTATGACCACAGCTTGGATTGGGAGGACTTCAAGGTGCGCTCAGCTAGAAGGGTTTCAACAGGCTGAAGGGTGGTCTGGTGGACAGTGTTAACATATGAAAGTTGATTGTCAGGAGAATGTCACATGAAAGTGAATCCTGTACTGTACATAACATCCATTTGCCATATGTCATGCGTGATGTTCCATACCCCATGCTCCATGCCTGCCTGCTCGTGCCTCACATGTCAAGCAACATGTGCCACGTGTCATGCGCCATGCCACATGCCCCTTGCATTATTCCCCATGCATGCACCACCAGGTGCGGCGCAAGGGCTTTTACATGGTCAGCACGGTAGGCAAGCTGCTTTGCCCCATGCATGATCCATGCCTTGTGCCTCATGTACCAACCATGCACCCCCACCATCACCCCCACCCACCAGGTGCGGCGCAAGGACTTCTACATGCTCAGCACGGTGGGCAAGCTGCTGTGCTCCATACCCCATACCCCATACCCCACACCCCACGCCCCGTGTCCTCCCATGCACTCTTCCCCATGCATGCTATGATTAGGTGCGGCGCAAGGACTTCTACATGCTCAGCACGGTGGGCAAGCTGCTGTGCTCCATACCCCATACCCCATACCCCACACCCCACGCCCCGTGTCCTCCCATGCACTCTTCCCCATGCATGCTATGATTAGGTGCGGCGCAAGGACTTCTACATGCTCAGCACGGTGGGCAAGCTGCTGTGCTCCATACCCCATACCCCATACCCCACACCCCACGCCCCGTGTCCTCCCATGCACTCTTCCCCATGCATGCTATGATTAGGTGCGGCGCAAGGACTTCTACATGCTGAGCACAGTGGGCAAGCTGCTGCACGACTTCATCCCCAAGCTCAGCCACGAGTCCGATGGACTCATCCTGCAGGTCCGTCAGTCGGTCGGTGAGTGAGTGAGAGAGTGTGTGAGGGAGTGAGGGAGGGAGTGAGGAGTGAGTGAGGGAGTGAGTGAGTGAGGGAGTGAGTGAGTGAGTGAGGGAGTGAGTGAGTGAGTGAGTGAGTGAGGGATGAGTGACTCATTGAGTCCCAGGTGGGCACAACTTCATTCCCAAGCTCAGCCACGAGTCCGACGGACTCATCCTGCACATCCATCGTCAGTCTGTCAGTCCGTCAGTCAGTCAGTCAGTCAGTCAGTCAGTCAGTCAGTCTGTCTGTCTGTCAGTCAGTCAGTCAGTCTGTCAGTCAGTCAGTCAGTCTGTCAGTCAGTCAGTCAGTCATTCAGTCAGTCAGTCAGTCAGTCAGTCAGTCAGTCAGTCAGTCAGTCAGTCAGTCAGTCAGTCAGTCAGTCAGTCAGTCAGTCAGTCAGTCAGTCAGTCAGTCAGTCAGTCAGTCAGGCTGTCAGTCAGTCAGTCACTGTGATGACATGCAGGCGAGCTTGTAGCAAGCCAGTGTGCTCTCACCCAGTCAAATGTCACATTCACTTGGTTGCCGTGCAAGTAGGCTGGTTGTCCAAGTGAGGTCATCTCTGCATCCTTGCTTTTCCATTCTGCTTCTTCCTCACACCCTCTGCTTCTGGCATCTCCTCCCTCGTTCTCTGCCTGCCCCCTCCATCCCCTCGCATCCTGGACCCAAGTTGCGACTTTTTGCCTCCCCTTCCCAAACGCCACCTTTCATCACCTTTCCATATCTTTCATGATCTTTCGCAGGCAAGGATGGAATGAACGATGCTCATTCGCCTTGCCCTCATGATCTCCTTGCCCTACGTGCTTATATTGAGCGTCTCTCTTGTATGCCCCTAATTTCCTCGCCTGCCCTCGCCTGCCCTCGTCTGCCCTCGCCTGCCCTCGCCTGCCCTTCCCTTGTGCAGGGGTGGAACGATGCATATGTGCCACGCACGCACGAGGGCCTGCTTAAGTGGAAGTATGCTCACATGAACTCCGTTGACTTCTGCCTCAAGGTGCATTGACTCCTGTTGACTCGTGATGCTGACTCCTGTTGACTTACCTTGACTCATGTGGACTCCTGCTGACTCCCGCTGACCTCTGGTTGACTCCTATTGACTCCTGTTAACTCCTACCCAACCCTGTTGATTCCCCCTCCAACACAGCACACTCCCCCTGTGCTCACTCAACCCCCCTGGCTCCTTTCCTCTTTCCACTACACCTCGTCTCACTTTCAGCACCTCCTCTTCATCTTCCCCACTCCTCTCCCCCCGTCGTACCCCGTGCGTGCTGCGGTGCAGAAATCACCGGAGGGCAAGTGGGTGCTGCTGCTGTCCGACAGGAAGACGCTGCGAGCGCTACCAGCAGCCAAGTTCACCCACCCTGGTCGGTGCCTCCCTCCTGCTTTGCTGTGCTCTCTGCTTTGCTCTTTGCTCCTTTGAGACGTCTCAAAAGTCTCTCTGACAGGAAGACGCTGCGAGCGCGATCAGCAGCCAAGTTCACCCGCCCTGGTCGGTGCCTCGTGCTTTCCTTGGCTCTCCTGCTCTCCTCCTTCCCTCCTGCTCTCCTGCTCTGGCCCCACACCAGTGTAAAAGACCATTCTGACTATGCCATAACCGTGTCTCTTTGTCCAATCCACACCTCCGCTGCTCGACACGAGTAAGGAGGGGGGAACAGAGTTGGAGGGCAAGCTAGGGAGTTCCTCTCACGTTTGATGAGTCTGTTGTTGAGTCGACAAAACTCCTCTCCATTCTTTCCCTGCTTAGGAATGCGTGCGGAGGAGCCAACGCGCTGGATAGGAATATAGTGGATTGCTGCTGAACCAAACTTGGAGCTCATTTATAACACCTCACTTGCCCTAAGACAAACCAAACCACCCCCAACCTCTCTTCACCCCCTGCCTCCCGTATCCTCTCCCTGTTTTTCCTATACCCTCCTTGGAGACGAATGAGGAGGCGAGGTCACTGGAGGGGAAGGGAAGATAGTGGAGTGCTGTTTGCGCCACAACATGGAGTTTCCATTCATCCATAACGCTTGTCCTCGCCCCTGAAACCCAATCCCCCCCCCACCCCCCTCCCCTTCCTTCCGCCCCCCGCCCCCTGAAGGCATGAGTGAGGAGGGGCGAACGAGCTAGAGGGCAAGATAGTGGAGTGCTGCTGCTGGCGTCACGGCATGGGGTTTCAGCTCTACACATTCACACAACACCTCTCTTTGCCCAAAAACACCCACAACGCCCACCCAACCCCCCTTCCCCCCCCTTACTCTCCCGTCTTTTTCCCTCAGGCATGAGTGAGGAGGAGGCGAAGGAGCTGGAGGGGAAGATAGTGGAGTGCTGCTGGAAGAAGGACGAGGCCGAGTGGGAGTTCATGCGCGTGCGCACTGACAAGGAGCACCCCAACGCATGGCACACGTACCTCAAGGTGGGCGTGCTGATGCTTGTGGTAAAGGTTTTTGTAATGCATGTTATGGTCCGATGGCGTGTGGGAGGTCATGAGGGTTGACTTTTGAGTCGACTCAAAAGTCACCTCTTTTGAGTTGACTTATAAGTCTGCTTGTGGTAAAGGTTTTTGTAATGCTTGTTATGGTCCGATGGCGTGTGGGAAGTCATGAGGGTTGGGCGCCCTAACGCGTCGCACACGCGTGTGTGTGTATATGTGTGTGTGGCCTCATGATCTGATCTCATGCCTGTAACCTGGCTGTCTGCATGCACTTCTGGCCCGCGTAGGTGATGGAGAGCATCCGAGACAACATCACAGAGGAGGTGCTGCTGAAGGAGGTGCAGCACATGTGTAGGGGGGGATGTGCGTGTGTGGATGTACGTGCTGCCTCCTCTCATGCTGCTGCCTCCCCTCTCTCACAGGTGATGGAGAGCATCCGAGACAACATCACGGAGGAGGTGCTGCTGAAGGAGGTGCAGCACATCCGCAGCCTGCCCGTGTACGAGGAGCACGAGAAGAGCGAGATGCGCCGCCTGCAGCAGCAGCGCCGCCACCCCCACCCCCACCCCCATCCCCACCAGCGACACCATCAGCAGCAGCACCGGCATCCGCCCCACCCCCAGCAGCATCAGCATCAGCATCACCAGCAGCAACAGCAGCATCACGAGCAGCAGAAAAGGTAACAGGCGTAGCACTTGATGTTGGCACGCACCACGGAATAAGGGGCTGCATGTGAGGCTGGTGGATGTACAGTACAAGCCTTTCTGTTTTAGTGTCTCCCTTTCTCTTTCTCGTCCTCGTGTCTCCCACTTTCTTCCTGTGCACCCATGTATATGAGTGATAACTGTGCAAAACTAGTTGTGGATGAAGAAGCATTGTGAAATCAAGATTCATGAGGCTCACACCTGACGCGATGGAAAGTTCGCTTTTACAACAAGCCGGTTGAAGATTATATGCGCGTAGATGAATGATGATGTGATATGTATACTTTCTAGCCACGGAGCGATTCATAATGAACTGAGTGGTGGAATCAGTAGTGTCAGTCGACGTGGCGCGGTGGGCACCACAAGGTCGTGAGAGTCCCAAGCCACCTCAGGTAATATGGGCGAAAATGGCTTTGCCCACCTCGCCAATCAAGAAACCCGCCTGCATCTCTTGTAGAGTTACCTAGTGTTACATTTTCGCTAGAAGTGCCCAAACACGAACAAACAGAGTCATCAGCAGGCCCAGCCAATCAGATACAGCAACGACATTGTTCTATCCGCAACCAACCCAACGTCCCTGTGTTTTATCCGCTTGCTATGCCAAGTGAACTATTCTGAAATTAGCAGTCGTTTCGCAATGGCTTCTCGCCTCCAGTCCGTCGCCGCCCACGGCGTCGCCACCACATCGTGCAGCGCGGTTACCACTTCGCCTGTCACGTCGACTGCGACGGGAACCGGCAGGTGCAATGCGGTCCACTCGTGTCGCCTCACCGCCAATCCCGCCGCAAATCTCGCCGGGTCTGCCGCAGGATGCTCTCGTCAGCAGCAAGACCATTCACTCGCCAGCTGTTCCGCGTTAAGCGGAGTCTCCGCGTGGCGGCAGCTCTCAGCTGCGCAGATTGCGGGGAATGCGGGAGCTTCGGGGCGCGAGGTTCGGCCAGGGATGGCATTCGTTGTCCGTAGTGCTCTGGTGCGTGCTGCCGCCGATCCCGTCTTCGTAGCGCAGCAAATCCGATCACCGCAATTCCCGCAACTCGTGGTCAAATCGCAATCAGAATCGCAGTGCCGTCCGCTCCTCGTTAGACTGGCTCCCACGGTCCCTTGTGTCGACCTTATGGCGTGAAGTAGAATGAAATTTTCGCTTCCATTTCCGTCTGAAGGGCTCTGGAAGTAGGCTGGGTTCACACTGTCCGAAAGGGAGAAATGCCATGATCGCCTGAGAGTGCCTTTCGGAGTCTCCTGAGAGCCTGAGAGTCTGAGGCCTGAGAAGCAGCTGCTCAGGAGTGCGGCATGTTGGTTGGTATAGACCAACGCGTCTTTGCCATGGAGCACTCACTCAGGTTCAACGCGCAGGTTCTTTCAGAGCTGTCTCCGTGTTCTTCGAAGGGTTTAAGCCTCATCACTTCATCCCACCAACCCAGCCAACTCCTTCACCCTAGCCCCTCCATTCCCCGCCTACTCCGCCCGCTGCCACTCCCTTGTCTCCTCTTCCATCTCCGCTCTCTACTCTTCTCATGTTCCCTTTCCCTTCAGGAGCCTTACGTCATCACGAAGTTAGACTCAGCAGAGCGAACTTTCAAAGAACTTTCTGTGAGTCGCATTTTCCTGCGTTCTGTCTCTTCTGCACCGATTGTTAGTAAGCCAATGTAGTGTTCTTGATAGCTTTGACCACTACTTTTTGAAATGAAGTGGTTAAAGCAGCTATTTGATTGTGATGTATGCATCTCATCCCTCTTCGTCTTCCCATTGCACCCCTAGCATTATCCGTTGCTTCGGCATTGCTCCTTCAACCCGGCCTTTGCTCCACTCTATTCCATTGCCCAGGGTGTCTATCACCCCGTTTTCCCCGTCATTTCCCCCCACCCCATTTCCCACATCACAAAAATCAACTATCTGAATACTATACATGATGTGTGTTTGAAGACTTTGTTCGAATGTTTTCAAAATGTAGGGGTTCAAACTTTTTTAGAAGAAAGTATCGAACTTTTTTCAAATGATGTGTCAGATGATTTTCGTATGATTGGCAGGTTCTGAAATGGTTCTGAATACATGCGAGGGAAGTTCTATTGGGGTTTTGGAAACCTTGTTATGGACATGTTGGCGACACCTATTGACATTTATGCGGTGTAAAAATGGTGCTTTGCTGTGTTTTGTTACATGTTTGAATTGGATTTTGACATAGTTTAGCAGAGTGTCAATGCCTGTAAATTATACAGTTGGAAAAGGGCATCATGTATGTTTTTTTACCTTGTACACAGCCATAATTACACCTTGCACAAGGTTCGATAATGCCTCGACCCAACACCAAACATCCTTTTCCATGGATCCCACCGACATACGATGTGTGCTCGCAAAAATCAGAAAAATAGGAATTAAAAACGCTACAACATTCCTTTTGCTTCATATCCCTGCATCTAGTCTCCTATTGTCACATTGTCACTGCCTTCTACTGGTAATCTGACTTGCTGCTGCAATCCCCTACTCGTCTCCTATCGCACTAGTTGGCCTGGAGTTCCTAACTGCTGTGACCTATGCTGCCCCTTCTTCGCTTTCCCAAACGCTCTGTGTCTACTCTACTCCCCTGGCTGTTGTGACTGCTCTTCTTCCCACTGTTGTGACTGCTCTTCTTCCCCCGCTGCTTCCTCAACTTTGCTCCCCACCTGTTGTGACTACTAAGCTTGACCTGCTGCTGTGATTCTTCGCCTCTCCCACTGAATACATACTCTTCTTCTCCCACTGCTGCCCCTTCTTCGCTCCCCCCCTTGTTGTGACTTCTCTGTTCCCTCCTTGCTGCCCCTTCTCCGCTCCCCACACTGCGGAGACCTTTGCTCCCCAGCTGCTGCCCTTTCTATTCGTCCCCCACTGCTCAGTGACTACTCTACTCCCCTGGCTGTTGTTTATTTGGAGCTCCCCCCACTGTTGTGACTACTCTCCTTCCCCGCTGCTGCCCCTTCTTTGCTCCCCCCTATTGTAACTACTCTGCTTGACAAGCTGCTGCCACTCCTCTGCTCCCCCCACTGCTGCCCCTTCTCCACTCCCCCCACTGTTGTGATTACTCTGCTCCCCCTGCTGCCCCTTCTCCGCTTCCCCAAATGCTCTGTGTCTACTCTGCTTCCCGCACTGCTGCCTCTTTGGAGCTCCCCCCACTGTTGTGGCTGCTCTTCTTCCCCCGCTGCTGTCCTTTTCCGTTCCCACCCTGCTGTCATTACTCTGCTTGACCCGCTGCTACCCCTTCTCCGCTCATCCCACTGCTGTGACTGCTCTACTTCATCTGCTGCTGGTCCTTCTCCCATACCCCCTCTGTTTTTATTACTCTGATTTCCTGTTTGCTGTTCCACTGCTGCACACTCCACTCCTGCTCCTCCCAGCATCACAGCATTGCTGCCCCCAAGCAAATACCTACTGCCTCTCACAGCTGCCATACCCCGCTGCTCCGCTGCGGTCTCACAGCTCAACATAGCTTCCCTTTTTGCTGTCCATCTCATACTCTCCCTACTGCTACTCCTCCACAGCACACCCCACACCAGTTCTGCAGCTTACCCCTCCACTGCTGCGTCCCCGTGTCTCCCCACTCCACCTTTCTCTGCCTCTCGCACTGTTTACAACCCGCTGCTCCTCTTCGTTGCAACTTCCACTCTAGTTCAGTCAAGCAACCACCCTCCCCACCGGAGTGCGGGTGCTTGGTGTGGCCCTATACTCCTCAAAGCCCGACTCGTGGACAAAAAGGCCAAATGGCCCCCATTCGAAACCCTTCATGCGGGGGTTGTAGGTCGGACTGGCCTGGGTGAAGTGATCCCTCACCACCCTTTTCACAAGGGCGCGGATGCTTGTCACCCATTTGGTGTTCTTACGGTGGGAGTTGGTGAGGTTCATTGTCGTCTTGTTTGTCTTTGACAATCCGTAATCGATCTGTACAGTGATGGAGTTTGGAGGGATTTGTGGATCATGTTTCAAAGGGGGAAACAGTGAAGTATTGGGAGCACCGTGCATGGCATGCAAGGATGGAAAGCAAATTGAAACATTTGTTGAAACCCAAGCAAGGAATGGGGTAGAAGAACACAATGAATTGGGGACAATGAGAGGGAGAAAGAATCTGCTCACCACCATGATAATCCACGCAATGTGATACGCCTTGATGCACAACTTTGTCCCCACAGCATATTCACCAAAGGCATCCATGGCAGCATCGAAGAAGCACTTGTTGGCGAATGGGAGGCCGGACTCCTCATCATTCCCCCATGTGCTTAGTGGATAATCGGCAGCTGCAGCAGTTGGGTTTGGAGGGGGTTGGGGAGGGGACAGGTGGGGCATTGGCAGGCCAATCTGGTCGGTCGAAGGAAAACGGGAAAGGGTAAGAGAGAAACAGTGACCAGGGAAGGGGGTTGGGGGTGTAACCCCCCCAAAATCATGCAATACAAGGCATTGTGCGATGGAATACTCACTTGGGCAGTAGGTGCCCCAAAGATCGCACTTCAATTCCACGTCGATGTGTAACTCTGATGCACGCAGCCCACTAACTGCCACCCCCAGGGCCTCGAGCACCGCCCTTTTGATATAGAAGGCGCGCTCGTTCTTCCATTGCGTCCAAACACGCTTGAAAGTTTCAATGCGTTTCTGGTCCTGCATGACCTCTTTCAACTGAATCAAAGACACTATGTAGTTCTCTGATATGACCGCGTGCAAGACCAAGATCCTCTTCTCAAAAGATGGGTAGAAATTGATTTCGTTGTCGTCAGCTTCCATGCACATGCAATTCCTGGTATCCTCGATGTAGAGCTAATGAAGTATTCAACGGAAGGGAAAACATGGAACATGGCATGCAGGGAAGGAGCAAATTAGGATGCATGGGGAGGAGGGCAAGCTTTGAATGGTGCAAACAGAGATGAATGCAATGCAAGGCATGCAGGGAAGGTGCACATTGAGAAGCATGGGGAGCAGGGCATGCTTTGAATGGGGCAAACAGAGATGACTGCACTGCAAGGCATGCAGGAAAGGTGCAAATTGGGATGCATGGCGAGCACGGCATGATTTGAATGGGGCAAACAGAGATGACTGCACTGCAAGGCATGCAGGAAAGGTGCAGGTTAGGATGCATGGGGAGCAGGGCATGCTTTGAATGAGGCGAACAGAGATGAATGCAATGCAAGGCATGCAAGGAAGGTGCAAATTGGGAAGCATGGGGAGCAGGGCATGCTTTGAATGGGGCAAACAGAGATGGATGCAATGCAAGGCATGCAGGGAAGGTGCAAATTAGGATGCTTGGGGAGCACGGCATGCTTTGAACGGGGCAAACAGAGATGGATGCGAAGCAAGGCATGCAGGGAAGGTGCAGATTAGGATGCAACGGGAGCAGGGCATGCTTTGAATGAGGCAAACAGAGATGGATGCAATGCAAGGCATGCAGGGAAGGTGCAAATTAAGATGCTTGGGGAGCACAGCATGCTTTGAACGGGGCAAACAGAGATGGATGCGAAGCAAGGCATGCAGGGAAACAGATTTACGGGTTGGGGAAGGGCAACTGACCCTCAAATTCGTGGCAGATGGCATCCCATGTCTCCTAGCGATGGACAGTCCTTGTACAGCACTCTCCGCCACACACACGGGCTCAGGTTCCTGGGAGGGTAGCTCGCTGGATATCGCCTGCAGAGGTGGAACTGGCATTCCTACTCCAGCAGAATTTCCCAGGGGCCTTGGTGCTGCCTTCAGCTCCGCAATCTGCCTATTCGCTTCCTGCAATGCCTGAAACAATTGCTGCATGGACGCGTTGGGTGATACACCAGCACTACTGAAAGGGAATACAACCGCCGCACCCTCTTGCTTGCACCTTGCGGATTCTCCCGCGACTTCAGGCCCAATATCTGTTTTACCAAAAGCCTCACAACTAGGTCGACCGTCGCCTGGCTGACCTCCAGCACCAGGGTTGCCACCGTCAGCTGCGCCCTGGAGTCCGACCTGCACGCCACTACTCCGCTCAAAACCCTGCCCAATGCCCCACTCCTCATCGTCACTTCCTCCATGCTTACGGTTGTCAGCAACACGCTGGACTTCAACTTTGATGCCACTCCGCCCACGAACCGGCTGGGCATTCCTTCCCAACGAGGAACCTGAAGCGAGTGCCGCATAGGGGTCGTCTGAAGCCCCCCGTTTCTTGCGAATGCTTTCCCGTCGGTTCTCCGCTGTAGCATCTACTGTTTTCCCCAAAACCTTCATGTCGTTGTAGAACCCGAGATCGGCATTCAAAGTACGCCGCTCCTTACCCACTCGGGTTTCCCCACGTTCTGAGCGCTTGGCTGGTGCATGTTCTTGGGGCCTCCCCCTCTTACGCTCTTTCTTTTCCTTCCTAGCGCGACAACGCTTTCCGCTAGATCCGTTTCTGCGTCCACCCCGAGCCTTGCCTTTCCTCCTGTCTTCCTCCTCACTCTCTGACTCTGATTCCGCATCCTCACTTTCGTCCTCCTCATCGTCGTACTTCTCCTCGCTCCCAGAGGAGCTCCCCGACTCCTCCTCAGAGCTTTCATCGTCATCGGAAGATTCCTCCTTGACAGGGGCTTTCTTTCCAGCCCTTCGGCGCCGTGACTTCACCCTCCCTGACACCCCCCTCTGATCCTCCAACTCCCCGCCACGGCTCTCCCTCCCACCCCCCCCATGCCCAGGAACATTCTCTGCACCATCCTGTCGAGCACCTGCTGCAGTAGGAGGGGATGCGTCACGCTTCACTTCAAGCTCGCCCTCATGATCACCCTCACCCTCGCCAACCCTGCCGCAACGCTCGCCGTCACGCTTGCTGTAACGCTCGCCGTCACGATCGCCGTCACGCTTGCTGTAACGCTCGCCGTCACGATCGCCGTCACGCTTGCTGTAACGCTCGCCGTCACGATCGCCGTCACGCTTGCTGTAACGCTCGCCGTCACGATCGCCGTCACGCTTGCTGTAACGCTCTCCGTCACGATCGCCGTCACGCTCGCTGTCACGATCGCCGTCACACTCGCCGCCCCGCTCGCCGTCACGCTCATGCCCTTTCACTTACAAGTGATCCTCGTCGTCTACAGCTTCATGCTGTCGTGTTGCCCCGGTCGCCTGTTGTTTCCCTCTTTTCCCTTTCTTGGCACCGCGTTTAGCTACAACACATAAAGAAAGGGCGACAAGATCAGTGGTGACGAGTGGAGCACCTCTATTGGTGGCGAAATCAACCACGATATCAATGAGCAACTCTGAAACAGACATAGAAAGACGCTATGCGGAGCTAAAAGGCTCTTGCTTACCTTTCCTCTCTTTAGCAGGTTTGAATTGGTCCAGCAGCTTCACCTTAGGACCGTTCCGTGGCTCGCTTGAACCGCCGCGACTAATTCGGCCAGCGTAAGGCTCGTCACCAGACTGGTCACTATCCGATGATGAGTCCCCTGACTCCTCGGCAGCGCGTGCAGAAGATTTGTTCTTCCTCCGATACTGAACAACTAACGGAGCAGCTTTGTGAGGTGTCATCTCGTCATGAAGCCTCTGTTCCGCACCTGTTCTGGCGCCTTCCAGGGGCTGTAAAGCTCCAGTGCCTACTACCACCGCAGTAGCATCGGCCTGTTGATCGAGATCGCAGATGTCCGCCATTATTGCCGCTAGACCAGTCCAGTGAATGATTGCAAGATGAGGAGTGCATTTCGATGGATCAGAGCTTGCTTAAATAGGTATTCAAGGTGCAAGGAATCCCACCGCGCATGCTAGACGTGCCTGCGAGAAACGCAGTGCGAAATCCCAGTACGTGCCTGCGGACCGCGCCCAAGAAGGTCTTGCAAGCGAGAACAGGAGCGCGCCATTGCTGGACGCGCCCTTAGAGAGCATTACGACTGCGCCATAGCTGGACGTGCCTACGACGAGTAATTGCAACGCGCTAAGGTTAGAAGTGCCTACTGCTAACAGCAATGCGGTATGGCAGCAACTCACAGTGAGGCAACATTTGGAAATGCCTATCGTAGGAGGGTATCGTGAGGAGAACCTCAACTGGTACAAGCGTGACGTTCTTGGTGCTCTTCGCCTTAGGGTTTCGTGGTCTCAACTACCGCCACGAGAGATGGCACAGCATGTTCCTTTAACGAAAACCTCCCATGAAGTCACGTCGTGCTGGAGTTCCGCGCCTTCTTCAGCTCCTGCACCAGTTCTGGGATCGCAGCAGCCCAGCTGCCCTAGAAGTTGCAAGGTACGTGCTGGCAGTACGGTATGTGAGTGTTCACAAGCCTGGTCTTAGTAGGAGACTTGTTGGGCTGGAACGCCGTTTCGCCAGCAATCCTATATCTGCATTGTACTAAAAGCGCGATACTACTAAGTATTTTCGATCGCGTGAATGTCAACATCAGAGCTAGACTAGCCGCAAAAAAATCAATGTCACAAAAAATCAATGCCACAACAGCAAACATGCAGCGCGAAATTCGAATACACGCGTAGGACGATCCGTGCCTAGTCCAACTCATCGCGCTTCGAGAACGACTCTGTTCTGTTGCCCTTGAACCATCGTTGCAATATCGAAAACAAGGATGGGCGTTACAAGTGCGCTGTATAACAACCCAAATATCATTCTAACACATCATCTGGTTTGTTTTTCTACCAAACTCTAGGTACTTGTGATTGGATCTGGAGTCCAGATTCTGGACTAACATACAAGTCACGCATTTAGGGATAACCCTCAACCACAGAAAGAACCCTACCAAGAATTCAAACTCCAAAAACCGTCGTAATGTGTCACAGAGGCCGCCTTTATGAAAGTGCCATGAACAGTGAGAAGGGTGATACCGTGGTATATTGTCATATGCAACATCACCAAGATACCAGGGGACTGGAGTTTCACATACACCAAATGGCTGCTAAGTGTAAGCACAATTCAAATCAAGTCTTGCTCTGGCATGCAACATCCCATATTCAGCCTGGTTGGAAGAGATCAGCAGAGTGTTTCTTGATTGTAGGGGTACTATGCATTCAGCAAAGGAGGATAGAGAAGCAGCGTTGTGTCTGTTGTGCAACCTTACGAGTCACATGCGGCACGCTGTGTGTTGACATGTTCTAGTACCGTATAACCACACACCGTTTTTGTATGCCGTGCCTCTTGAAGGCATGCTGCTGTCCAACCCACGTTCAGCCATCCATTCATTGCATGCATGCATGGTTCGGTGGGACACCACTCCATACTGCCCACTCCACTCCAGGTCCTCAGCACCATGATGTGACACACACCTTTCAGGATAGCATAATAACTAGGCCATCTGTCATTATACTCAGCTAATCTCATGTCTAGTGCTAGATTATGCAGCCCCTATCCAACACCGAAGGTGGCTAAGAGCATCACACAGCCTGAATAGAGGCGCATGCACTATCATAGAAACACGACCACTTAGCCAAATCTTTACGATATTGCCGCCTCCACTGTCTTGGCGTCCCGACCAAGTTGCACGCATTCAGACTGCCGAATTCGGATTCGACGAGAGTATGAATGACTCGCATTACATAAACACCGCAGTCATTATCGTTGTCTTGCTGTCGCACCTGCAAATGGCCCGAGAAGGTGATAGTGTTGGGATTAGGTGTAATATTCGAATTCAGGCAGAAAAATGTTGTTCATGCGCACCTCACTCCTCACACTCCCCTTCTCATCCGCGCATCCCCATTGCACTCATGCGCAGCCCACTCCTCTCACTCCCTTTCTCATCCGCGCATCCCCACCGCACTCATGCGCAGCCCACTGCTCTCACTCCCCTTCTCATCCGCGCATCCCCACCGCACTCATGCGCAGCCCACTACTCGCACTCCCCTTCTCATCCCGCATCCCCACCGCACTCATGCGCAGCCCACTCCTCTCACTCCCTTTCTCATCCGCGCATCCCCACCGCACTCATGCGCAGCCCACTCCTCTCACTCCCTTTCTCATCCGCGCATCCCCACCGCACTCATGCGCAGCCCACTCCTCTCACTCCCCTTCTCATCCGCGCATCCCCACCGCACTCATGCGCAGCCCACTCCTCTCACTCCCCTTCTCATCCGCGCATCCCCACCGCACTCATGCGCAGCCCACTCCTCACACTCCCCTTCTCATCCCGCATCCCCACCGCACTCATGCGCAGCCCACTCCTCTCACTCCCTTTCTCATCCGCGCATCCCCCCCGCACTCATGCGCAGCCCACTCCTCTCACCCCCCTTCTCATCCGCGCATTCCCACCGCACTCATGCGCAGCCCACTCCTCTCACTCCCCTTCTCATCCGCGCATCCCCACCGCACTCATGCGCAGCCCACTCCTCTCACTCCCTTTCTCATCCGTGCATCCCCACCGCACTCATGCGCAGCCCACTCCTCTCACCCCCCTTCTCATCCGCGCATCCCCACCGCACTCATGCGCACCCCACTCCTCTCACTCCCCTTCTCATCCGCGCATCCCCACCGCACTCATGCGCAGCCCACTCCTCTCACTCCCCTTCTCATCCCGCATCCCCACCGCACTCATGCGCTGCCCACTCCTCTCACTCCCCTTCTCATCCCGCATCCCCACCGCACTCATGCGCAGCCCACTCCTCTCACTCCCTTTCTCATCCGTGCATCCCCACCGCACTCATGCGCAGCCCACTCCTCTCACCCCCCTTCTCATCCGCGCATCCCCACCGCACTCATGCGCACCCCACTCCTCTCACTCCCCTTCTCATCCGCGCATCCCCACCGCACTCATGCGCAGCCCACTCCTCTCACTCCCCTTCTCATCCCGCATCCCCACCGCACTCATGCGCTGCCCACTCCTCTCACTCCCCTTCTCATCCCGCATCCCCACCGCACTCATGCGCTGCCCACTCCTCTCACCCCCCTTCTCATCCGCGCATCCCCCCCGCACTCATGCGCAGCCCACTCCTCTCACCCCCCTTCTCATCCGCGCATCCCCACCGCACTCATGCGCAGCCCACTCCTCTCACCCCCCTTCTCATCCGCGCATCCCCATCGCACTCATGCTCAGCCCACTCATCTCACTCCCCTTCTCATCGGCGCATCCCCATTGCACTCATGCGCATCCTACCCTTCCCACCCCCGTACGCATCCGCGCATCCAACGCGCATACCTCGATGGCGTTTAACGGAATCTCTGCTGCCCACGATTTTGCTTCAGTCTCCGTGATCCATGCGTAGCGCTTCATGACCTGTCGCATCAAACATCTGCGCATTGAGCATACGGGTCGTTAGCACTCGTCCGCAAGAATCATGTTTCATACGAAGCACATATCTCACTTTCTCAAAGGTCCATCAATGTCGACGTGAGTTGCATATGAGTCCGCATGCCACAGGACACACTTGATCGGGATAAGGGATCCCGGAGCGTGGTTAATTTCGATGACAGCAAGGCTCCAGTGCGCACTGCAATGTTATCGAGACTCCAATGTCGTTAGTTTGCAGCACATGGGTACGTTCTACACATGAATAAAAAGACCCGACTACTTACTCCTTGTTAATCGGAATAAGAACGTGCTTAAACGACAAAATGTCATGTCCATAGGCCTGCCTAGTGATCCTCTTCGACCCCGGGCGTGCTACGAGTGTCCAGAAATAAGGCGATGTGCAAAGCCACGACGCATTGTCATATCCGTACTCGTAGTGTAACATACTGCAGGATCGACATGAAAATATACAAAGTCGGTGAAGCTCGTGAGAAACTAAAATCAAGGGTCAACAAATCAGTTTGCTCTGTGTTCAACACAGAGGCACTCACGATGAGAGCCACTCGATAACCGTGCCACTGATCCACTGCTCGTTTTCCAGCGTGCGGTAATCTGAGGGTTTGATTTCAAGAGATCCCCCAAACGGGGATGGCATGCGCATGTGCCGGAAACTACATCGCGCTAACTTGGGTATGCCCTTCTCCTCCATATCTTGAGTACGCAAACTCAGCTTGAGCAGGATCTTGCCTTAGGTAAGGGTCGAAATTCCTTGCCCAGCGAGCTCAACGGAAAGTCGAAGCAGATACTGTAGTTCCTCCTGGAGAAGGACCCACACGCCCTTGCCCTTCGTTGGTCAACTTTGTGCTAAAATTCCTGCTCCCATTCGTCGTCAACGAATAGCCTGCTCTTGATATCTTGTCTACTTGGTGTCCAGTGTTGGGCGGTCTGACAGGATTCCCTGCTCCAATGGCATTGGTGCGGCTTGTATTTTTCTGACACACAATTGGCGTGTACCCCAAAAAGGATGTCAGGTCCATGTCGCAAGCGGAAACGACCTTCGCCAACTTGTTTCCAGTTGGGTACAAAACCTCGTCAGGTTGCTGCGACAAGAAAGCAGTTTTTGTACGCGAAAACAGTTACACCGGGAGATGCTGAGTATGAGTCGCATGTCGTTCTCGCCCATCTGCGCGGTTGTCGCGCACCAATAAACAGTGTGACCTAGCACTTCGAGCAGTACATCACAAACCCTAACCAATTGCAAACCAACTACTGACACTCGATGACCAATGGCCAATCAGGGTCACCGGAAACATATGTTCAGGCTCAGATCGCCAATTCGTGTTCGCGCCAAATCCTTCCCTCGCCTTTCGGTAAACTATCGTCCATACGATAGTTTACTATCTCACCACGGTGCAGTGTTACCACTCACATCTCAAGCTGGTGTGCCAAACACCATTTCAGTCCTACGGACAGATCTGCTCGATGGAGGGTCAGGGTTGCGAGTTTTGCAATAAGCGCGTGTACTGCTATCAAACAGTACGTAGCCATCAAGCTAACCATGACGGCTGTAAGCGAGCCCAAAGACGCAAGGCTCAAGAGGCTGCTAAACGAAAGAAGCTGGGTCGTGACGTTGAGAAGCAGTATACCTTTGTCCCGTTAGGAAGAGCCACCCTTCCCGCGCCAAAGCATTCGATTCCCTTAGCAGCACTTCCGAACGCAGTAGAGCAGCACCAGCAGCCGGCAGAGCGAGTTCCTGATGCGGTCCATACGTGTAGCACCACACTCGTGGGGGAAGAAGCTCCTACAGAGGAAATTCTCGATGTTAAGGCGGAAATATGCATTTTGGCACGGTCTCACGGCCTTACCAACGGGGTGATAAACGACACGATACAGTTAGTTAGACATCCGAAATTAGATCCAAAGCAGCTGGACGATTGGAACAGCTACCGGGACCTGGAGAAGTACGAGAACACCTTTGACGTTGGAGAGGCGAACGAATGGATCGTCGAGGAGATCCCAGTGGATCACGAGATTGGGTTTCTCACTTTCAAACGCCGAAACGCTATAAAAGTGAGTGTCTCCCAGGTGCGGTGTCACGTTCTTTAGAGTGGAGGTGGGGGTTTAGTGATGACGATCAAACCATCGGACCAAAGGGAACCATCGTTTCTTCACGTCTGTTTTACATCTTTGTTTCCGTCATTATCACCATCAGCTCCTTCAGGCCATGTTCAAGAAAATGTCAGCTGTCAAGGGATTCACCATCATGCCTCAAGAGTGGAAGGTTGATGGGGTTCGCCGCTACAGTACCCCTGCAAACACGGACTGGATGCTGGAGGCTTGGGTAAGTTTGGTTCCAGCTCATGTCGCGTTTGACAAGACCGTCGAAACATAGGATCCAATTCAGATTTCCATCACTTTCTCATTCACTGTGGCAGGAGAGGGTGCGGAAGTATGGCATAGTTATAGCGCTCATTCTGTTCTCGGACCAGACCAATCTATCACATAACGGGCGCCAATCCGCCCACCCATTTCTTTTGTCCTTTGGGAACATTCCGGAATGGGCTAGGTGGCTCGAAGGAGGCACTGAGCTTCTCGGGCTTCTGCCTAATATCCCAGCTGACCTCTCGCCGGAAGAAAAGGTTCGAGTGTTCCAGCGCGCTGCAGAGATCATGATTAAAGATTTAAAGGCGGCTTCACATCTGAAAGGGTGAGTCAACACTACTGTCACCCAAAGGCGCGCATCCCTAGTAATCTCCGTCATCGTACTACGTATTCTGCCTCATCCCTATTCATAATCCTCCCACCCCGCTGTTTCCATCATTAGCCTTCTGGTTTGGTCAAACCAACCACTCCGTCACGTTTCCACCCCACTACCCTTCTAATATTCTTTCCCTGAGGCATACCCTCTCCGCTCCCTTTGTTGACCCTCGTTCACATCTGGTCCTCCTTCGCATGCGTGCCACAACGCTGTATTCAGTCATAACTTTGCTTTGCCACCATCTCATGCCGTTAATGCCTTCCCTGCTTGCTGTCCCCATCTTCCTAACCGTTCTTCATCTGCTTGCTTAGGGCCGCCCATGCTCACTCCGTTACTCCCATCTCCGACGTGTTATCCCATCATCCCCCCTCTACCTCCCTGTTTCCCCCTTCATCCTTGGCGGCTGTGCAGGGGCGGGGTGATGGTGGAAGACAGTGCCGGTGTGCAATATAGAGCATTCACGCTTCTATATTCATGGGTGACAGATCACCCGGAGTCTTCTAAGGTCACTTGTACGATGGCATGCAACTCGCTCCATCCGTGCTCGTTGTGCTTGGCTGATAAGGAGCACCTCGATGCGATGACGTTTGAGTTGACTCAAACGCCCCCCGATAAGGAGTGCCTGGATGAGCAGGAAGACACTATTGTCCTCAGAACTGTCAAGAGTCAGAAGGATGCGTACAAGGAGATGGAATCAGCAAAGACCAAGAAGAAGCTGAAGGCGGTGAAGAAGAAGACCTCTACTCACTTTGTGAAGGTAACCCTTGCCTAGCTTGTTCCGCATGCATTGCCGCGCATCTCATTTGGTTTCCCTCCATCCACACCATATACTGCAGTGGCTAGTGTGCATGAGAACCTACTCTAATCCGCAGCCAGCTGTTTGTGTTTATTACCCCGACCCGCCATAGTGACTCTGTGTCCTTGACCCACAATGCAGAGCCTTTTGTGGGACTGGGAATTCGCAAAGACTCTCTGGGGCAACACGTACCTCGCTGTCCCCCCGGACATCATGCACATCTGGGAGCAGGGCATATGGCTGCATGCCATGAAGTGCCTTGTGAAGAAGCTGACTCCGAAAGAACGGAAGATTCTTCTGGAGTGAGTTGTTCCGCGCCATGCTGAACCGTTCCTCCCCTCCTTGCTTGCTTTCCGCGCCATGCTGAACCGTTCCTCCCCTCCTTGCTTGCTTTCCGTGCCATGCTGAACCGTTCCTCCCCTCCTTGCTTGCTTTCCGCGCCATGCTGAACCGTTCCTCCCCTCCTTGTTTGCTTTCCGCGCCATGCTGAACCGTTCCTCCCCTCCTTGCTTGCTTTCCGCGCCATGCTGAACCGTTCCTCCCCTCCTTGCTTGCTTTCCGCACCATGCTGAACCGTTCCTCCCCTCCTTGCTTGCTTTCCGCGCCATGCTGAACCGTTCCTCCCCTCCTTGCTTGCTTTCCGTGCCATGCTGAACCGTTCCTCCCCTCCTTGCTTGCATTTTCCACCATGCTGAACCGTTCCTCCCCTCCTTGCTTGCATTTTCCACCATGCTGAACCGTTCCTTCTCTCTAGGCGATACAAGATTTTGAAGGAGGTCACACCAGCTTCCGTGCTCCGTCTACCTTCGGCGTGGGCCTACTTTACATCCACTGCCTGCTTTTCAGCTTCAGAGCATCGTGCGATGATGCAGGTCTTGCCTCTCATCATCGATCTCCCAGGACGGAAAGATGTCCGGACGGCAATCGTGCTCATGGTCGAGTGGTACAAGGAGTTTATTCGCGCTGAGTACCACACCGACGATTCCCTGAAACGGATGAAAGATGCCACCATCAGGTAGTTACTCTTGTTGTTGTGTGGGCTCCCAAGCCGTTCATTGCCACATACACCCATTTTCCTCGCATCAACCATACCTACATGCTCTCCCCCCCCCCCCCCCCTTCCCTTTCATCTTGTTTTGACCCTTTGCATCCCTGTTCTTCCATACCCCACCTGCTTGACCTCAATCCTGCCCTTTTTTTCCCTTGACTGCATGATTCCTCACCCCCCCTCCCCCGTGTCGTTTCTCCCTTCCTGGCCTGCATTCCACCCCTTAACTGCATGCATGCTCTCGACTGTCTCTCCCCAGCATGGTGAAGGCTCTGCGTGTTGCATTTCCTAAGCAGAAGTCAAAGTGGAAAATAGTGAAAATTCATCTCCTCGTCCACCTCCCGTCAACCATCCGTCTTCGGGGAATCCCCGCGGAGTACTCGTCGAACTGTTACGAGCACTCCCACAAGACCACTGTGAAGCGTCCTTCACGTGGCACGAATTGGAAGAATGTTGAAGATCGCATCGTTCGGAAACACCTGGAGCACGCGGTAGTTAGACAACTAGCGCGGGAGGCCGGCGGGGACAGCACGTACGAGACTTCGATGAAAGAGGTGATTCTTTTAAACCTGCAATGTCCCCCCTGCTCTGTACCCCTGCACACTCTCGTCTGCTTTGTTTCCCTGTTTTATTCCCATGCTCTGCTCTCCTGCTCTAACTCACTGCATGGCTGCCTTGCTCTGTTCTCTTGCTCTGTTCCACTTTTCTGTTCCCCTGCTCTGTTTCCCTGCTCTGTTTCCCTTCTCAGTTCTCTTGCTCTCTTCTCCTGCTCTGTTCCCCTAGTCCGTTCCCCTTCTCTGTACCCTGTTCTGTTTCCCTGCTCTGTTCTCAGCACTGTTTCCATGCTATGTTCATTGATGTGTCTGCCCTGCTCTGTGCCCTGTTCTGTTTGCCCTGATCTGGTCCCTGCTCTGTTTTCCCTGCTTTCATCCCTGCTCCGCAACATCCTCCTGTGCTCCCTACTGTTTCCCTGCTATGTTCCACTGCTCTGTTCCCCAATATCTGTTTCCATGCTCTCTGCATGAGTTGGCAATCAGATGCTGGACCAACCTAACCAAAGTAACCGACTCCTACCCTCCATCCCCGTCTTCGTCCCCACAAACTCGCCCCCGTTCCCCCACCCTCATTTCCCCCTGGTCCCTAGCCCTCTCCTTCGCCTCCCCCGCATCAATCCCCTCCCCCACCCTCTCTTCCACCCTCCAAATGCCCACACCATTCACCCCACCCCCTCCCTATACCAACCCTCTCATCTTCACGGTGACAGGCATGCCTGGCTGGCCGGAGGGTGCTTACTAAGACCCACAAGAAGATGGTCATTGGAGACATCACCGACTCGGTGTTCCGGAGCTACGTCTTGACGCTGGGTGAACCCGCCATGAGTGCGATGGTTCTGCGCCTCAAACAGGCGGGCATCAACACGCAAGTCTTGCAGGTGCATTCCCCTCTCCTGCTTGCTTTCCACCCCATCCACCCCTGGTTCCCCCTCTCCTGCTTGCTTTCCACCCCATCCGCCCCTGGTTCCCCCTCTCCTGCTTGCTTTCCACCCCATCCACCCCTGGTTCCCCCTCTCCTGCTTGCTTTCCACCCCATCCGCCCCTGGTTCCCCCTCTCCTGCTTGCTTTCCACCCCATCCACCCCTGGTTCCCCCTCTCCTGCTTGCTTTCCACCCCATCCGCCCCTGGTTCCCCCTCTCCTGCTTGCTTTCCACCCCATCCACCCCTGGTTCCCCCTCTCCTGCTTGCTTTCCACCCCATCCGCCCCTGGTTCCCCCTCTCCAGACTGCTGTCCATGCAAACCCTGGCCAATACCCCATTTCCCTTATGCTCTCCACCCCCTCTTTCGCTGCTTTCCCTTTTTCTTTGTTGAATGCTCGTGGTGTCAGGTGCACACGGCACTTGCGATCCCGCCACACGATAAGATGGAATGGACGTCAAGGGGGCAGTTCGTCAAGGCTAGCCCAGCCCAGCAAAACTTCTCGTCGATTGCGATCAACCCTGCAGGGAAGGGATCCCCGTGGTATGGCCGTTGCCTTGTGCTGTTTCATTACAACAAGGGTGGTGAGCTGAGGCGAGGCGCATATGTGGAGTACTACACCGAAGACAAGCGACAATGCCCGTCGACGGGATGCAAGCGTCTTTTACCCACAGAGGGCGTTGATAATTATGCGGTGATCGATGTAGACTGCATTCTTAGTCTCGTGCACATTGTACCCTCGTGCGAGGACGATGAAGTGAGCCTCCTCAACAGATTTGTATGGTGAGGCCTTTGACCCAATGTGACTGTGGTAAACGTTGATTTTGAACCTAGAATATTGATATTTTTAGGCATTTCTTTAATCTAATAGGTGCAAAATCAATAACCATTGGTTAAATATGACACTTGGAAACCCATGTTCTTAATGGGATTTACAAATTCAAGAAATAATCTTCAAAGGTTTTGCTGTAACAAACAATGCACAGAAGTAAAAAGGAGACATTTATATCGAGAACAGGTTTACAGCACAAATCTTCCAAGCGAGGAGACCAGTTCCAACCCCTCTTAGTCGCGAAACCCTAATGCTGCAGCAACAGGCACGAAACATTGAGCGGAAACATACGAATAGTGTCTCCAAAACGTCTCAAGAGGGACAAACGATTTTTGTAGGTTTTCTGTACGTTTTTCAAACGATTGTCAAACATACGATCGACCTGCGGGAATGTCAGATGATTTTCAAACACACACATTTTTGTGATGCACCCGCTCTTTCCCTCCATGATTTTCGCCCTTTCCTTTCTCTCCTCTTTTCGCCCAACCCTTTTCCCGATCCCTTTTCCTATTTCTTCCCCCCATTCTTTCCTCCCATACTATCTCACATCCCTTTCCCTCATCCTTTCCCCCCGGTTCTGCTTGCTACCATCCCTTCACTTTATCTCTTTCCCCCACCCGTTCTCCCCATTGTTTCCCCATTGTTTCCCCCCCCCCCCCCGGTGCATCCCCATGTTTTCCCCACCCAGATTCGGCTGGCAGATCCCGAGGTGGCGTCCAACGCGACTGAGTACATGCGCATTGCCAAGTCCGCAGGGGAGATCGAGGAGGTGAGCGGAGGTGGTGGGGGGGGGGGAGGCGGGAGGAGGTGAGCAGGGGGGTGGAGCAGGGGAGGTGGGGGAAAGCGGATGTGAGAGGGAGATTGAGGTGGCGTCCAACGCGACTGAGTACATGCGCATTGCCAAGTCCGCCGGGGAGATCGAGGAGGTGAGGAAGGGGGGGGGGGGGGGAAGAGGAGATGAGGGAGTGGAGGGAGGAGGTGAGGGGTGTAGAGGGGTAATGGAGGGGAGAGGGGGTTAAAGGAGGGAAGGGGTGGCTAGAGGAAGTGAGAGGGGACTAGAGGAGGGTAGAGGGAGATGGAGGAGAGGGGCGGAGGTAGTTAGGAGTAGGTATTGAGGTGATTGATGAGTTGAGGGGGAGAGAGGACGCGCGGGGAGATAGTTGGGAGTATTGACGATGGATACTCACTTTGCTTGTGAGGAGTGGGGCGAAGCGAACCTGTGTGGTGGGCGGGCAATTGTGAGGAAGCAATACCAGGGCGGGGTGGGGGGTGAGGAAGGATGGGAGTGGTGAATGGAATGGTACAGGGATGTGGAATGGGGTGCATCTATCTAACGTGGTGTGGTGTGCATGGGTGGTCTGTCATTGCGCGCCCACCTGTCTGTCACATCCCACACCCCCCACCATCCCACAATTTCCTCATCCCACATCGCCCATGGCATGACATGCCACGCCATAGTCATGCATGGTCCCATAGCACTGCCATTTACCAATCTCACATCCTCACCATCACCTGGCAGGTGGCGAGCGCGTATGCGGAGTGGAAGGACAAGCAGCAGCAACTGGCTGACGCAAAAGGTGACTATAACGATGCCTGGTGATGCTGCAGTGCAGAGTGGTGCAGTGTGCTGTGATGCATCCTGCCATATCGCTCTCACATGCTCCCTGTGATCTTGTTCTCATCAACGCAAAACATTCCATATAATCGCATGGCACCCACCAATCGTCGTTCTTTCCACACACACACAAACATGCGTATCATCAACAATCGACGCTGTAATCCGCTCCACGAGCTCGTCTGTCCCCAAATGGCTTGTCTGTCCCCAAATGGCTCGTCTGTCCCCAAATGGATCGTCTGTCCCCAAATGGCTCGTCTGTCCCCAAATGGCTCGTCTATCCCCAAATGGCTCGTCTGTCCCCAAATGGCTCGTCTGTTGTCCCCAAATGGAGGCAGGGGAGCTGGAGGCAGGAGGTGGGGGAGCTGGAGGCGCAGTCAGCTTACCAGCTCCTCACTCTCATCTCTTCCCCCACCCTTGTCCCTTCGCATCGCATTCCACCCTTTTTCACTCCTTCTCGCTCCGTGCATCAGCCCTGATGAAGGACAGTGCATCGGACCCGGAGATGGCAGAGATGGCCGGGGAGGAGGTGCGAGAGCTGGAGGCGCAGCTAGAGGAGCTGGAGGGGCGCCTCAAGGTGCTGCTGCTGCCCACCGACCCGCTTGACGCCCGGAACATCATGCTGGAAGGTGTGTGTGAGAGCTGGGACGTGGGGGGGAGTGCTGGAAGGTGCGTGGGTGTCTTTTGAGTCGACTCTCAAGGAGCTGCAGGGGCGACTCAAGGTGCTGCAGGGGCGACTCAAGGTGCTGCAGGGGCGACTCAAGGTGCTGCAGGGGCGACTCAAGGTGCTTCTGCTGGGATGTGGAGGGTGTGCTGGGATGTGCCGGGTATGCTGGGATGTGCAGGGTAAGCTGGGATGTGCAGGGTATGCTGGGATGTGCTGGGTGTGCTGGGATGTGCTGGGTATGCTGGGATGTGTGGTTGCGTCTGTTGAGTTGACTCTAACGGAGCTGGAGGTGCAGATAGAGGACCTGGAGGGACCTCCTCAAGGTGCTGCTACTGCCCTTAATGCCAGGAACATCATGCTGGAAGGTGCGTGTGCATTGTGAAAAGGTGCATGTGTGGAAGGTGGGGCGTGTGTGCTGGGAGGTGGGGGTGTGTTTGAGGTTGAGGTGTGGATGAGGTGTGCTGGGAGGTGGGGGTGTGTTTGAGGTGTGGATGAGGTGTGCTGGGAGGTGGGGGTGTGTTTGAGGTGTGGATGAGGTGTGCTGGGAGGTGGGGGTGTGGTTGAGGTGTGGATGAGGTGTGCTGGGAGGTGGGGGTGTGTTTGAGGTTGAGGTGTGGATGAGGTGTGCTGGGAGGTGGGGGTGTGTTTGAGGTTGAGGTGTGGATGAGGTGTGCTGGGAGGTGGGGGTGTGTTTGAGGTGTGGATGAGGTGTGCTGGGAGGTGGGGGTGTGTTTGAGGTGTGGATGAGGTGTGCTGGGAGGTGGGGGTGTGTTTGAGGTGTGGATGAGGTGTGCTGGGAGGTGGGGGTGTGTTTGAGGTGTGGATCAGGTGTGCTGGGAGGTGCGTGGTTTTCTCGTGGGTCGACTCCGGAGCAGATGGAGGGGCGACTCTCAAGGTGCTGCTTCTGCCCAGCCCACTGACCCCCTTGATGCCAGAAACATCATGCTGGAACGTGCATGTGCATTGTGAAAACGTGTGTGTGTGTGTGTGCTGGGAGGTGGGGGGATTGTTGGAGGTGTTGGGTCAGGTGTGCTGGTCCTGTTTTCCATACTCCGCTCTCGCCCTCCTCCCCCTGCCCTCCTCCCCCTGCCCTCCTCCCCCTGCCCTCCTCCCCCTGCCCTCCTCCCCTTGCCCTCCTCCCCCTGCTCTCCCCAATCTGTCTGTCCATCACCACAGTGCGGGCGGGCACGGGAGGGGATGAGGCCGGCATCTGGGCAGGCGACCTGGTGAGTGCATTCTTGCACCCACTCTTGTTGACGTTTCCTGCTCCAGCGGTGTTGACCGGCGTTGACTGGCATTGACCGGCGTTGACTGGCATTGACCGGCGTTCACGATGCACCCGTTCTCCACCTGACCCAGAACAGCAGCAAGCCTTGCATACTACTGTGGAATAGAATGCCTCCCTTCCCGGTTCTGCCCTGCAGTTCACTGGACTGCCCTGCACCGTGTTGCACCGCACCTCTTTGCATATATTTCTCAGAAGTGATGTGCGTCATATTTGGTTGACAGTTCTTACATTTCACCCTCGTTATGTTGCTCCTTGTGCACCCATCTGCACCGCTCTCCACCAGGTGAAGATGTACGGTCGCTACGCGGACAAGAACGGGTGGCGAGTGTCTCCTGTTTCCTGCACTGAGGTCCGTGAGGGAGTGTGGGAGGGGATGTGGGGGGGGGAGAGTGATGGCTTGAGTGTGGGGGAGAGTGATGGATTGAGTGAGGGGGAGAGTGATGGAGTGAGTGAGGGGGAGAGTGATGGATTGAGTGAGGGGGAGAGTGATGGAGTGAGTGAGGGGGAGAGTGATGGAGTGAGTGAGGGGGAGAGTGATGGAGTGAGTGAGGGGGAGAGTGCTGGATTGAGTGAGGGGGAGAGTGCGGGGATAAGCAAGGAAAGAAGTGAGGTCATGAGCCAGGGAGGGGGTGAGGGGGTCCGTGAGAAAGTGAGGGGATGAGTGAGAGGGGACGAGAGGGCTGCATATTTTGTTGTACATGGGTACCTTCGAATCAAAATCACCTGATTCGTCTTGCATCGTTTCGGTTCCCATACGTGATGGAGAGATAGCGGGCGAGCATACGTACAGCAAGCAAGGCGACCTTCTAGTGGACTCAAAAGTCACATTGGAGAGAGCGCGCGAGTGCGTGTGCTTCAAGCCCTAGCCAAGCATGGGAGTGGAGAGACACCTTGCATGGCAGTAGAGAGACACCTTGCATGGCAGTAGAGAGACACCTTGCATGGCAGTGGAGAGACACCTTGCATGTTGCTCCATCTCCTCCCCGGTTCACTGCCGTCCGTCCCCCCGCCCCTTCCCCACAGGCGGAGATGGGCGGGTTCAAGAGTGCACGATGGAGATAGGCAGCCAGGAAGTGAGCGCGGGTGCAGCAAGCCCAAGTGAAGCATGGGAGTGCGGAGAGACCCCGTCAAGTGATGTGATAAAGACCCTGCGCGCTCACACCGTGCTCATCCCATGCGTGCCGTGCACAGGCGGAGATGGGCGGGTTCAAGGAGTATGTGATGGAGACAGCGGGCGAGCGCGTGTGCAGCAAGCTCAAGTCAAGAGTGAGAGTGCAGAGAGACATTTCATGCATACATAGTGCCCACTCTCCACCCTCTCCTCCCCTTGCCCACCCCCCCACAGGCGGAGATGGGCGGCTTCAAGGAGTACGTGATGGAGATAGCAGGCGAGCGCGTGTACAGCAAGCTCAAGTACGAGAGCGGGGTGCACCGCGTGCAGCGCGTGCCGGCTACTGAGTCTGCAGGCAGGGTGCACACCTCCACTGCCACTGTGGCCATCATGCCCGAGGTGAGATTTGGGGAGAGGGCCGATAAGGGTTGCAGGGGGCAGGCAAATGGAGGGATGAGCACAGAGTCCTGCCACTCCCCCTGCCACTCCCCCTGCCACTCCTCCTGCCGCTCTCCCTTTCTGCCTTTCTGCCCCCCGCAGATAGACAAGGTGGAGGTGGTGAGAGGCCCCAAGGACATGGAGCTCACGGCAGCACTCTCTCCCTCCCTCCTCGCTTCCTTTCCTCTGCTGTGCCCCTTTCCATCTTTCCCTCACCCCCCCATGCCATCAGATAGACGAGACGGGGTAGAAGTGGTTATCGACCCGAAAGACATTGAGCTCACGACGGCGCGGTCGGGCAGGGCGGACGGGCAGAACGTGAACAAGGTGGAGACAGCGGCGGGCCTGTTCCAAAAGCCCACTGGCATCCCTCATTTTCTCACTCTCCCCTCCCTCCCTCCCTCCCTCCCTCCCTCCCTCCCTCCCTCCCTCCCTCCCTCCCTCCCTTCCGCCGTTGCCCTTCTCTTCCCCCCCTCACATTCGCAGATAGACGAGGTAGAAGTGATCGACCCAAAGGACATCGAGCTCACCACAGCGCAGTCAGGAGGGGCAGGCGGGCAGAACGTGAACAAGGTGGAGACGGCAGCAGGCCTGTTCCACAAGCCCACGGGCGTCCCTCACTCCGTCCCTCTTTCCCTCCCTCCGCTGTTTCATTTCCCATGCCCTTTTCCATCGCACCCCCGTCACCCCATCCCCTTACTCCACGCCATTAGATCGACGAGGTAGAAGTGGTGATCGACCCGAAAGACATAGAACTGACGACAGCGTGGTCAGGAGGCGCAGGCGGGCAGAACGTGAACAAGGTGGAGACGGCGGCAGACCTGTTCCACAAGCCCACGGGCATCCGCATCTTCTGCACGGAGGAGCGCTCGCAGCTCAAGAACAAGATCCGCGCCATGCAGCTGCTGCGCGCCAAGCTGTGAGTGCCATGCAGCTGCTGCGCGCCAAGCTGTGAGTGCCATGCAGCTGCTGCGCGCCAAGCTGTGAGTGCCATGCAGCTGCTGCGCGCCAAGCTGTGAGTGCCATGCAGCTGCTGCGCGCCAAGCTGTGAGTGCCATGCAGCTGCTCAGGGCCAAGCTGTGAGTGCCATGCAGCTGCTGCGCGCCAAGCTGTGAGTGCCATGCAGCTGCTGCGCGCCAAGCTATGAGTGCCATGCAGCTGCTGCGCGCCAAGCTGTGAGTGCCATGCAGCTGCTGCGCGCCAAGCTGTGAGTGCCATGCAGCTGCTGCGTGCCAAGCTGTGAGTGCCATGCAGCTGCTGCGCGCCAAGCTGTGAGTTGAGGAGGTCGGGGAGGGTGAGGGGAGATGGGGGGTGTGGCAACGAGGGGTGGGAGGGGTCTGGAATGGAGCAGGGGAAGGAAGGGTGAATAGAGGATTGCTCGCAGCTGAAGGACAAGTTCCGCGCCATGCAGCTGCTGCGCGCCAAGCTGTGAGTGGAGATGGCTGGAGATGAGGAGGACAGGTGGGAAAGTGGGGAGATGTCAAAGGAGGGTCGGGCGGAGCAAGAAGATGAATCTAGTCAGCGGCACGGTCACCATGGCACGCTCTCTTGTCATCTATTCTCACTCAATGTCTGCCCTCTGTTCCCTCCTCTCTCACCCCCACCCACTCCCTCACAGCTATGAGCGCATTCTGCAGGAGCAACAGGACGAAGCTAGTTTGCAACAAAGTCACCATGCCTCCTATCCTCACTCTGTTTGTCCTCTGTCTTCCCTCTCCCTCTCCCTTTTCCTCACAGCTATGAGCGCATGCTGCAGGAGCAACAGGACGAAGTCAGCTCTCGCAGACGATCGCAGGTGAGGTTCTGCGGTGTGGATGTGGCATGCGTTCATTCCGTGGGCCTCTGGCACCTCCGTCTCTGTGCACTTCTCCTCGCCCCATTTCTCCTCACCCCCCCTCATCACCCTTTGTCAGGGCGCACATCCTCACCCTCATGTCCCCTCCATCCCCACCCCAAGCCTCTTTCTTTTTTTAGGCGCCTGAATATTCCTCGCCCATCCGCACGCATCGCTTTTTTTCAAAGACTGGAAAACACGGAACCCTGTGGCCTGTTGTGCTTTTCCCGTATCCTTTTCCCGTCGCGCCTGTCCCCATGCAGGTCGGCACGGGTTCACGCTCCGAAAAGATTCGAACGTACAACTACAAGGTGGGCATGTGATGCGGGCAATGAGGCGGGCATGTGATGCGTTCAATGATTCGGGCATGTGATGCGGGCAATGAGGCGGGCATGTGATGCGTTCAATGATTCGGGCATGTGATGCGGGCAATGAGGTGGGCTTGGCTTGCCATCCCCGCCAATGGTACAAAACGAGGGGTCAGGACTCAGACCATCATGATAAGACAAACCCGCCCCTCCCCACCCCCCACACCATCAGGACAACCGGGTGTCGGACCATCGCACCAAGATCAACTATGACCTCGGCTCGTTCCTCAATGGCGATATTGACAACGCCATCCAGGTGAGGACGGACAATGCCATCCAGGTGAGGACGGACAATGCCATCCAGGTGAGGACAGTCGATGCCATCCAGGTGAGGACTGGTGATTTTTTAACTGTAACAAGTAAGGCTGAGAATGCCATTTATTCAAATACCCCCACTCCCTGTCCGTCCTCTTCTGTTTTCTCTTCTGTTTTCTCTTCTCTCATCTCTTCTGTTGTCTCTTCTGTTTTTCTTTCCCGCCCGATCCCTTGCTCCCCTCCTTCCCGCTTGCCCAGTCCATGGTGTCAGTGGCACGCAAGGAAGGAGCACAAGGAGATGGTGGCACTCACTCAAACACAAGATTACCTTTTCGGCCAACTTCAACAAGGAGCAGAAGGAGAGGCGCCTCAAAAGCACGCAAAGAAGGAGCAGAAGGAGGCGCCTCAAAAGCACGCAAAGAAGGAGCAGAAGGAGGCGCCTCAAAAGCACGCAAAGAAGGAGCAGAAGGAGATCGTGGCACTCAACAAAACGCAAGAGCATCTTCCTTCAAGTCTTGCTGTCTTTCTCTTCTCCACCCACCTCTCCCCACCCCCCCAGCCCGCCAGTCCATGGTAGCGATGGAGCATAAAGATTTGCTGGCTTACCTTCCCTCTCACTAAAGTCTCTCTTCTGCAATCCCATTCCACCCTCTTTCCCCCATCCCTCCCTCTTTCCTTCCTCTCCCCCTCTCCTGCCCCCACCAGTCCATGGTGGTGATGGAGCAGAAGGAGATGCTGGAGGAGCTGGCAGCGTCCGTGCAAACCACAGTTTGAGCCTCACTGAGTCACTGTGACGTACGAAAGTGTAGGATGGGCAGAGGAAAACCAGACTAATGCCTGTATTAAACTACTGCCTAGGCTTTGGAAAGTAGATCACCATAGTTTCTGTTATTGGAAACCATGAAATGGGACTTTAGAATCCAGTTTGTTTCACACCCATGTGCACTTTGCGCAAGGTGCCTCTGATTTTGAAAGCATCTACAGCACCTTCCAAGTACAATCATCAAGCCCGCTGACATCTTAAAGTCAGACATGTGGCTTTGACGGTTACCATACCAACTCAAACTTGTGTTCAACATGGTCATCCTGTCATCCCTAGTCAAGCTTTTTCATCCTCGATTAAAACAACTCCCTGACTGGCACCATGCATTTCCATCGAATGCAAGACCCTGGTTTTTACTCTTAAGGGTATGGGTTTATTACAAGCGTGAAGATCTTGTAAAGCCCGTATGTATGTTTCTGAGTTAAATCTTAAAGAGTGTTCGGATGCTGGAAGCATTTGCGAGTTTTCGCAAAACTCGCGACAACCGTTACCATGGCTAATTTTGAAACCCTTGGGACATTCAGTGGGGAACACCCACAGTGCATCCGTCAGCCCGTCAAGGTCTATCAATGTGAAGCTTGCTTTGCCACAGCATTTTGCGCACACACGTTTAGGGGGTGTCCAGCGCGTACATTTTGGGGTTTTACGTGCCCATACACGTATGGAGGTTCAAAACGTATCACTGTACCTAAAAACGAATGCCCCGTGAGCAGAGTCCATTCCTCCTGTAATGTCTAGCGCGCGGACACAATTCCCCCCACACATTCTTCAACAGTGCCTGCACCAGCTGGAAACCTAGGTAACTGGTTTCCTCGTGAATGACAGGGCTGGCATTTTCGCTCGGTCGAACTTTCCACGACCGAGCGAGCCGCACACCAAAACAACCTGGCGGGCACTCCAGCCCGCCCATGCGACCTGCATTAAAACACACACAACATTGGGAGGGCACACAATCCCTCCCATGCGCAAACGACAAACATACAATACAACTGGAGGGCACTCCAGCCCTCCCATGCGCTCCGTCAAATCAACACAAATTCCAAGGAGGGCATTGCATCCCTCCCATGCGCTCCCATCAAACCAACCCAAATCCTAGGAGGGCATTCCATCCCTCCCATGCGCTCCCGTCAGCCAAACTCACTTCGCAATTAAAGCAAACGGCCAGACATGCATCTATAATACGATGCGTTCTGATTTGGCAACTATCTCTCTCAGCGATGCCCATCATGGCAGCAAGAACAATTCGTATAGTTAATTTAGCGCACCAAGGCCTCGTCGCATGTGTCATCGCCCCTATTGGCAATGTGCTCGCATCTCTACTGCCCGCTCTGGTGAATTCTGTTGCTGCTGCTATGCGGGAAGAAGGAATCCTTCGTGATCGCGCTAGTGTGCGAGCAAGGTGGCAGACGCTGCTGAACGAGTTCTCAGACGACCTGTACATCGCCATGTTTCGTGTCGAGAAACACGTGTTCAATTTCATCGTTCAGGAGTGGCTCATAGCTCGTCCGCGGAAGTCAACGTTGAACTACACACATGAGCTCCGTGTCGCCCTGGGTCTGTCACGCCTTGCGCATGCATGGAGTTATCGCATGTGCGGTTTGCACTTTGGAGTGAGTAGGAGCGCCGCTGTTACCATATGTGACGAGTTTGAGGACTTTGTTCTCAAAATGTTAGGTCCCGATTGGGTCAAGTGGCCTGACTTGGATGACATGCCTGCTATGGCCCGTGAATTCCAGAGGCTTGGCGGAATTCCGGGCGTTGTAGGTGCGCTGGATGGGACATTCATCAAGGTACGCGGATTCGGGGAACACCGCGCCGACTTTCAGAACCGTAAGGGGTTTTATAGCGTCATTCTTCAGCTTATCGTCGATGCTCATGGTGACATCTGGGATTTCGATGTGGGCTGGCCTGGGAGTGTGAGTGATGCGCGTGTGTGGAACAATAGTGAAGCTTGTGCTCGCATTGAAGGAGGGGAGCTACATGGCTATTGCCTTGTTGCTGATGCAGCTTACGGACTACGAGACTACACATTCACTCCCTACAAAGTAGACAGGACTACAAACCTACTCACAGACGAAGAGACAACATGGAATAAGCAGCAGAGTCGCGAGCGCATGATCGTCGAGCAAACAAACGGAAGGCTGAAAGGGAAATGGCGGATTCTTGACGGGCGCATGGAGGCCAACATCCGCAAGGTGCCCCGGACCGTGGGGGCATGCGTGGTGTTACACAATCTGGAGAACACGCTGAGCAGCCGCCCTCGCGCCGGTGCCCCTCGCGAAGGACACCGTTGGTGGCTTGAAGGTCCGGCAGCCGAAGCAGTCCACACCACGCCTGATACGGCCGCGTTTACTCCAGCTCTCCGTCGTGATCGGTTGGCCCATGGCCTCCATTCATCCTGGGCTCGGACTCACCCGGCCATGACCCGACCAACGACCGGGTAAGGCTCTCAAACCTGTCGCATGCACGGTCCACAGCACTGTTTATGGCGCTTGCGATGCTTTCCGCCATGACCGTGGCAATTGCAGCCTCCGGGCCAACACCAATCAAGCCTGCCGTTGACCGACCATTGCTCTGTGTTGGTGATCCCCCTGCAGGAGGCGTCCCCGTCCCACCCGCGGAGGTCGAGGGGGACGCGGTGGGAACGGAAGGTGATGGCGTGGATGGCGAACCAGTGCCAGACGGCGGTGCGGTGGGCTGATTAGTTGTGGTTACTGGAGTCACCACCGCCGTAGTAGGAGTGCGTGGGGTAGGCGTGCGTGAAACAGGCCCGCTTGGCGTAACCGGGGAGTTCACATCCGTAGATGGAGTGCGCGTGTTCCGTCCCGATCCACCAGTCGTTGCAGCACGGATGATGGCATCCACACTTGGGATGGTGGTGGTAGTAGATGCTAGAACAGCAGGCCTTGCACGAATAGGACCGACGTGCGTCACGGCTATTGGGGTAGGAACTGGTAGGGGAGTAGGAGTGGTTATCATCGCAGCAGTCACACGGTGGACGGGCTGGACTCCAGGGCGATTGCCACGGATTGTCTCCATCAGTCCGTACCAGGAAGGGAAGTAGCGGATTGCACCGGCGCCAGAGCGAGACAGCCTGTCGCGGAGCTGTTTGTACTGCGCCTCGATCCTCAACATTTTGATTTTGATCGCCCCTCGGCTGAAGCGGAAACGGGGATGGCGCTCAAGCACTAGCGTGTGGAGTGCAGCCCAGTAGTTGGCACCTTGAACTCCGCGCATGAGATCCCAGTCAGGATCCAGGTCGACTCTGGCCTGCACCAGCTGAAGCATCTCTGTGGCCGTCCAGTGCACACGCGGGCTAGTGGGATCGTCCCTCGGATTAGTAACAGCTGGAGAGCGGACGAGCGGGACCCCTGTGAAGGAATATATTAGAGAGCGTAGCGATAGCGAGAGAGTCTCTGCTATGGGAATGATGTTGCGCCAGCAACTTGGTAGAGTTTTGGTAGCGTTTGCCTCTAAGGACTTTGTGAGAATTGAAGTAGCATTTGGGCCAAGTAGAATTGCAATATCAATTATCAAACACACAAGCAAACACAAACATATATAGGCAAGCAAGAGTTGCACAATTGTTGCGTGGCGCTGCGAGTAACCCAACCCACACGAAAGTGCTGTGCAGGTGGGTGAACGCGCCCCGCACATTTCCAACCCAACTCGGCACCGGAATGTCTCACCGTGCACACTACTCCTGCCAACACAGCAAGTGAGCAGCGTGCCTCACAAGCAAGGCACCTACGACCCCCAAGACTTGTCATTCCTAGCACCGATTCCGCCGAGTTCGCTGCAGTAGCTCACAGTCACCCGTAGTCACTAATGACCGCCACCGAACTCGTGCGTCGGTGCCGAGTAGACTCAGTCGTTAGGCGCCGACCTGCCAAGTCAAAGGTCATCGAGGGCCCTTGCTGTCGTAGGGCCCTCTAACACTCCCCTGCCATACTACAGCAAGGCCCTTTATAATCACAGGGCATGCATACACACATACACACCAAAACAAAGGGATACACACAAACGAAACACGCTCAAAGTGTAAACACGCACCGCACCAGCCATGGATAGGCCATGGCACCATCCACATCATGGAGTGTCTAGGTCTCACTCCCCTCGCTCGAGAGCCGCACCTGCCCCACAGCCTCGAAGCAACGACTGAAGGCGGGGAAATGCAATGCCTTTGTGAGGTAGTCAGCAGGCTGCTCGCTCGTAGGGATGTACTGCAGCTGCAGCTTCCTGCGCTTGACCATGTGCTGCAGCCACATGTGACGACGCTCCATGTGCTTGAGGCTCCCCTTGAGCCCCATGCCACCTGCCACTGAAATGGCGGAGGAGTTGTCCACAAAGAGAGTAGTGGGCTCCTCACTCCTCAGCAGTTGAAACTCCGCCAGCAGGAAGCGCAGCCTGCGCGCCTCCTTCCCAGCCTCCACAGCAGCAACATACTCAGACTCAGTGGAGGAGAGGGTGGCGCAACGAATCCTCTGGCTCGCCCAAGAGACAGCAGCACCCCTGAGCACGAAGACATAGCCACCAGTGCTGGTCCTGTTCTGCTTGTCTCCCGCATCATCAGCATCGGCGTAGCCCACCAGCTCCAAGGACTCCGGCCCCCCACCAAACTCCAGCGCCACATCCCTGCTCCCCACCAAGTACGTCAAGCACCGGTCCAACTCCTTCCAGTGCTGATCACTCCGCACAGTCTGGCCCGACCCCAGCTTGCTGCAGGCGAACGAGATGTCGGGACGGGTGGTACAGGCCGCGAACTGCAAGGATCCCACCTTCTGCCTGTACTCCTCCTCCTGGCGAGACTGCCATCCCACATCCTCGAAGGTCTGCACACTGAAAGGGTCAGAGGAAAGAGGGGTGCGAGGCACTCGCAGCGGCTGCTCCCCGTCAAAGAAGCGCCTATGGACCTTGTCCACATAGGCCCCCTGGTGCAGCCACAGCCTCC